CGGTACACACACCACGACTCGGAGGAGTATAGGAGGCTTGGCAGCACAATTGCCATGTAAACTGAGATTTTAGTGGCCAACTTAAGGTCGTGTGAGCAGAAGACCTTGGAATATAGCTTTCCAAATGCTGCAGCAGCGGCACCGACCCTGCTATTGATCTCATCATCAAGGTCACACTTGGATGTTAAAGTGTTCCCCAGATAGCGAAATTTATCCACCTGCTTCAACACATCCTCACCAAGCTTTATGGTTAGTGTCTCGTGACCGTGACTGTCCAGGGACATCACCTCCGTCTTATTGACACTAATCTTCAGGCCGAATTTACGGCAGGCTTGGTGAAAAACGGACATCAGCTGTTGCAGGCCGTCTGGGGATTCTGCTAAGAAGCACAAGTCATCAGCATAAATGATCTCAGTGATCAATGCATACGACACTTTGGTGCGAGCCTTAAGTCTAGCCAAATTGAAAAGGCTGCCGTCCGTACGGAAGCGGATGCGGACTCCTTGGGAAACAGTTTGTAGAACCTCTCTAACTACGACCGCAAAGTACAAGGCGAACAGAGTAGGCGCTAAGACGCATCCTTGCTTCACCCCACAGGTAACGGGGAAGAAGCCCGTCTGTTCACCATCTACAGTGACGCAGCATTGCATGTCGTCATGCAGGAGTCTAAGAAGCGCCACAAACTTTTCTGTGCATCCGAGCTTCCGTAACACCAACCATAAGGCTTCGCGAGGCACGCTGTCAAAAGCCTTCTCCAGGTCAACAAAACAGAGGTACAGCTGACGACCCTGTTCTCTGCTCTAATATAATAACAAAGCAAAAAGCCAACATCACGTGGTGTTCCCAGGCGGTCACCCATCCAAGTACTGACCACGCCCGATGTTGCTTGACTTCGGTGATCGGACGAGAACCGGTGTATTCAACATGGTATGGACGTTGGCGATGAAACGATCGTATTGCACGACCAAGATCAGTGTGTCGTCACAAGTTCCTAAAATAAAACACAGCAAAAAGTCAACATCACGTGGTGTTCCCAGTATCATTTTCCATATAAAAAAGTTTTCATTAAAGTTAAAATAAGACTTGACCCTGGATCTTAGTTCCAGGTCATAACATAACCGCTGGTATGGACGTTAGCGATGAAACGGTCGTATTGCATGGAGAAAATCTGCGTGTCGTCACTAGTTACCAAAAGAAAACAAAGCAAAAAGCCAACATTACGTGGTGTCCCCAGGCAGTCGTGAGTTCTATTCCAATCTATCGACCTATCACAATAAAATTTTACGATATCCAGTTATTAGTAGATGAAAAGAGTAGCACGGAGACATGAGTGAGTGGCATGGCAATGCATATTTAATTTCACAACGGCAGGACTAGGCTGTTTCCTGGATTTTTCCAGAAATTACACATTGTAGATCAAGTATCATCAGATTAGAAGCTATCATTACAGGACCCTTGACACCTTTCCGATTCCGCAATTTCCGAACTGATTTCCGAAAATGATATAAAGTAATACATCAAAATAATTACAAAACTTTTATTTCAACATCTAAAATCAATTACACGTTTAACCAAGAAAATAAAACTATAAAAGTGCAATTCTTCGATAATATAAACTAATAAAAATACAACGCTTTTAAAATCAACATATCAAATTAATGAAATTCGATAATATAGTTATAATCTATAAACTACCATTTTTAATAAACTTTGGTCTTTTTTATGCAGCTCAGCTAGTATTTATTTACTTATTAGCAAATGAATGCAATTATTGAAAAACAGAGTTTTACAATTGAAGGCAATGGTGGGGCTGTTCATTATTTCAATAAACTTTATGTAACAATTTTTTAATAAGGCTTGGCTTTCCGCCGAGTCTCTAAACGACATTTAATTAAGTTATTAAAATCACAACAGTGGAATGATCGCGCCACTTAATCTAAAATCACGTAGCCTTGTACTCTAGTCACTAAAATAATTAAAACTTAAAAAACGAACGGAAAACGAATATAGTCTTTGGGTTCACTTAATAACGGACTTTATATAATGTAATAAGAAAATTTTATCTCGTTCTTATTTAAAAAAAAAAACAATTACTATGTACTCTAAAATTAATTGAACATTTGGACGGAATACATAATACTTATGTTTTTGTTAATTTCTTACGAGAATAGTGTTCAAATCGCTTGTGACGTATGTTATAAAAATGTGTTCAATATTGAAAATTAAATAAAGATGGAAAGTGAATGGTTTCCAAGGTTAGTCAAAGTTCGACTGTTTCGAAGATACAGTTTAAAAACTAAATTTAGTAAAAAATAAATAAGAAATTGTAAACAAAAGATGCAGATCACACTGTTAAATAAATAATTTCACGTTTCACCAAGATTGTAAATTTTAAGGGGACGATCACTCCTTATCACCCAAATCTTCGTTAAAAACGGAGAGATTCTCTTCGGATATTTTCTCTAGGCACCCGCAAGCGAGCGACGACAGGTTGTTGGCGATGTCCTCTTCGATTTTTCGCTCGAGAAATTCGAAGTCGTCATTGTCCTGACATTTGAGACACTCGTCAGACGAAGAGTCCTGGTAGCACATCGCGTTCTCGATGTTGACCTCAACCTCGTCCTTGTCATCTCGCGCCGACAGCGAGGGACTGCTGTTGCTCATGGCGCGAGACTCCCTTTTGATGGGAATAAATATTTCCGATTTGGGTCGTGCCTTGTCCGGTTTAGCTTTCCTTTGCAGTATCGGCGTGGGCGCCCGTTTCTCTTTGGGCACCCTCTGTATTCGTTCTTCTATGAGGGAGATGCTCCGCTTGAAGACGACCGTGTCTTGCGTCCCGTCAATGGCGTCCCTGGACTCGGTGTCGGAATTGTCGCAGCGGAAGTATATGGAGTCGCATCCGTTTTCCTGCTTCACTTTGATCAGGCAGCAGTCGTCTTCTTTCTCGCACAGGATCTCGTGCAAGGACCCGTGTAGGGGGATCAGCTTGACCCGTCCGCCGAAGTTCTCCTGCATCTGCGTCGATAGATCGTCGTCTATGTACAAATCCTCTGTACTTCTTGCTTCCTGCAAAAAATTATCGAAACATTAGATTATTTACCGTGGATTGATCGGAGAAAGGGCCACAGCGTTCTCGTGTATTGCACCAGCGCTCTGAAGACGCCTACTGGGATTATAGCGTGGCAAGGCGTACTGTGTGGCCACACGGGTAGGTGCTACCCTCTCTCTATTACGTAGCAGTAGTCACGCGTTTCGGTCTGAAGGGTATCCAAATGAATCCAACCGTTTCAGATATAAACCGGAATAAACAGGTAATAAATTTGGAAATTACTTCTTGTTACAAACACTGTATAAAATCGTTCAATTTTTGGGTCATTGAAATTTTTTAATTTTTCAATTCATTGTTTCGATTTTATTATTAGGAACGTTTCGACGCCTACGATAGGCAGGATATGTAGTTCGAATGGAGGAGACCAGAATGCCAAGACACAATTTCCTAAATACCTACTATAAGGCAAATTAGAGGGCCGTAGAAGTGGCGATGGCGTAGAGCACGACCTCAAAGTTATCGGTGTCAAGAACTGGAAGGAGAAAGCCCTGAGCAGAGCAGTCTGGGGAGACATACTGGACCAGGCTAAGGCCCGCCCTGGGCTGTAAGCCCTAGGTGATATTGACATTTCGGACGCTAAAGCCTTGTTCGGACTAGGCGAGTATTTTAGTCGAGTACCGAGTAATTTAGTGGCTAAACTACTCGCTACTGCACATAAATCGTTCGCATTACGGTCCAGTAGAGTACACAAGTGAGTGGTGTTTTGCAGGATGAACAGACTGCAATGCAATAGAGTGAATAAACTGATTAAGCTAATCGTAATGGTTATTTTAGAAAAGGTGGACGAGCAAATTTCTGTGATTATGAAAAATAAGTTATAGGTACGAAAATGGATCGATTGAAGAGATAAATGTCTTCTGAAAGAATTAGCATTGGAAGAGATCCCAAAGAATACTTCGATAGTTTAAGAATGTCCGAAAGTTCCATTTGAGAAGCGCCATTAATGAACTCGACTAATCAACAGGTTCGGACTTGTTTAGTCAGTGAGCCAGTGAGCTAGGACGCGTGGTGGGAGGCGCTACTCGCCCGATAAAATAGAACAAAATGGATTGGCTTGACTAAATTATTTACTAACCTACTCGACTAAACTTTTGGTGCTCGGACACATTTAGCTACTAAATTACTTGGTACTCGACTAAAATACTCGCCTAGTCCGAACAAGGCTTTAGAGCGGTCCCGTACTGAAGCGAATAGGGTTGCCTCACCTGAATAGCGTTGAAAGCCTGACACCTCTTCAGTGAGTTGAGGTGCACGTCGTCGGCGGGCGCGTCCCTGGGCGAGCCGGTGTCGCAGACGGTCACGTTGACGCAGTTGTCCAGGACCTGCAGACTGTTCTCGCCCGAGCGGCTGAACGTGATCTGTAGAAGCGGTTTATTGTTCCCGTTGATTTTGACTCGCGAAAACGATTTGATCGGTTCCCTTTTTGTGGTTTTGTCGTCTTCGGCGCCGTTGAGAGATTCAATGACGCCCTTGGTGAGGATGTCTTCGTGTCGGTTCGCTGACGCAGTGGACGCGTCGTCGGATAGTTCGTGGAGCAGGTGTTTGAATTCCTTGCGGATCATGTCCCTTATAAAATCCTCGATGCCGTTCGTGTCCGTCGCCTGGTCTATCTTTCTTTCATATTTCTCTTCTATGGATCTGAAAATAAATAGGCACCTATATAGTAAATAGATAAAATATAAAAAATATTGGTTTATGAGGATCTACAACAAAAAGCCAACATCACGTGGTGTTCCCAGGCGGTCACCCATCCAAGTACTGACCACGCCCGATGTTGCTTGACTTCGGTGATCGGACGAGAACCGGTGTATTCAACATGGTATGGACGTTGGCGATAGCCCATCTGAATGTTTTGAAGTGTTATTTCCTAGATTACATGTTACTTATTTTTTTAAACTAAACATTCACTTTGAATTTTGCTGTGTAACAAGATTTTCGCATCAACGATATAATACGTTAAACACAATATTAAAAAAAAGGGGCGATAACCCTAGAATATAGGATCTATCACACTCTAATTATTAAGCTAAGTATGAATTAGCAATGAATTTGCCACGAATTTTTTGTATTTATTCTCTATACTTAACTTACGTATTACTAGAATCCCGTCTTTGTACAAGTGATCGATCAGATTCCTTCTGCAGGAAAGAAACATTCTTGGATATCGCGTCCCGCGCTTGACAGAATTGCTCCCACTGAACATCTGCATATTCAAAACGGCATTTATAATTAACAATAAGCAGTTTCATAGTACATATTATATAAATATAAATATGTGGGCCTTATGGTTTTGTATTTAAAAAAACATTTGTTTTGTTCTTTTGTTTAAAGATAATTTTTAAACGTTTACATAATAACAGAGCATGCGATCACAAATTATTTTCACTCTTGTTAAAGGGTCAAAATAATATAATTTCGATATACTTCTACATTGTTCCCTCACTACTGAGGATCGCGACCACATGTAACATTCTCCCATAGTGTTCGATCAAGGGTGGAAAATATTTATTTCATTTAGTACCCCATGCAAGTACAAAGATTTACGGAACGAAATTCAACGCGTACAGTCTATTACTGAATTATATCAGAAACGAAAACGGTATGGACTAATATATTTTAAAAATGCTAGTCTGGCGAGGTGACTTCAGGTGACGGCCAGTCTGATGTTATGTAGTAAGCAGCCTATACAGTCAACGTGGGCGCTGTCACGTCATGTTTATTCCTCAGCACATGCTGTCAGGCTCGTCAATTGACATTGTGCTGTATGCTGTCAATTATATTATCTATATTCTATATCTATATATATAAAAATGAATTGCTGTTCGTTAGTCTCGCTAAAACTCGAGAACGGCTGAACCGATTTGGCTAATTTTGGTCTTGAATTATTTGTGGAAGTCCATAGAAGGTTTAAAAGGTAGATAAATATGAAAATGCTCGGAATTAAATTAAATAACAATTTTGTTTTTCCTTTGATGATGTCCCCCGTCGGACAGATTCGTTTTGTTTGTTTTAAGTTTATTTTATACAAAACTTTAGGTCTTTTATTTCTCGATTGAGGCACTACGAAGTCTGTCGGGTCAGCTAGTGTAAGATAAAAACTTTTTTTAAACTCTTACCGTTTTTAGTATTACTATTGGGAGAGGCAGCACAAGACCTATATATTTTAGTACCAGACTTCTTCAGATTCAGCTGTGGCAGAGACTTCTGCAGAGTGTCTACGCAGTGGGACGCCGGTTTGACGGCCGGAATTTGACACCTACAATAGCAAACGATTACGACATATTTTAAATACTGGAAAGTCATACTACAATATATGGGTTTAAAAATTCTAAATATAACATCACGTGGTGTTCCCAGGCGTCACCCATCCAAGTACGTTAGCGATGAAACGGTCAATTGCACGGAGAAAATCTGCGTGTCGTCTCACTAGTTACCAAAAGAAAACAAAGCAAAAAGCCAACATCACGTGGTGTTCCCAGGCGGTCACCCATCCAAGTACTGACCACGCCCGATGTTGCTTGACTTCGGTGATCGGACGAGAACCGGTGTATTCAACATGGTATGGACGTTGGCGATGAAACGGTCGTATTGCAGGGAGAAAATCTGCGTGTCGTCACTAGTTACCAAAAGAAAACAAAGCAAAAAGCCAACATCACGTGGTGTTCCCAGGCGGTCACCCATCCAAGTACTGACCACGCCCGATGTTGCTTGACTTCGGTGATCGGACGAGAACCGGTGTATTCAACATGGTATGGACGTTGGCGATAAATATATCATAAACTGAGATAGTAAGTATTTAGGTTAGATATGTACATATTAATAATATTAAAATATTGTTATTTATTTTACATAATTACTTTAATTAGAACGATTGGTCTCTGTATATGTAATGGAATCTTTGAACGTAATTTTCACCAACTTCCACTAAATGAACATTAATATTTTCCTATTCATGGAACGATAGTCGTACAGAAAAATATGTTATAATTTTGTTGTATTTAAGATTAATGTCCTGACGACGATCACCAGGATAAAATATTACACATACTTTTTTGAATCGGCTTGCTATACAAGCGTGTTTTTTTTTACCTTTATTTATGTATTTATTTTTTCATCCCACTAACTAAATACGCGCCATTTCAAATCCATCCTCACTATTTTAATAGTCCATGTGGACTTTAAAACAATTGATGCAGTAATTATTTTTTTTTATATTTTATAAACAAAATTATATGTGCGTGTCCCATACCTTTTATCTTCTGGTAAGGACATCGAACGGCTGTTCTTCCTATTGGCCTCGTATATCCATCGCTCGTGTATTGCGACGAGCGGCTTGACGTTGACTCTCGCCAATAAATCATCCTCTATTTTGTATTTCGGGCCGCGTTCGGAAGACGATTTGAATGACCATGAATTTGCTCGTTCTCGACACGTCTCGTCCGTCTCCGACGACACAAAGTCGTGTGGATGTTCGATTCTGAGGACAACGATAATTTTTACACAAGAAAAATATTATTATATACATAAATTATGATTTTTTATTTTTATTTTTTTTATTGCTTTTATGGATGGACCTGGTGTTAAGTGGTTACTCGAGCCCATAGACATCTGAAACGTAAATGCGCCACCCACCTTGAGATATAAGTTCTAAGGTCTCCAGTTAGTTACAACGGCTGTCCCACCCTTCAAACCGAAACGCATTACTGCTTCACGGCAGAAATAGGCAGAGTGGTGGTACCTACCCGCGCGGACTCACAAGAGGCCCTACCGCCAGTAACAAAACACCAGTAGAAAAACAATGAGTGTAACGATTTATAATTCCCATCGAACGTAGATTTAAGGTCAGTATGGCTTACATGAACTATTGTGGGTAATTTTTATAAGAGCGCCATCTATTAGCATTTAGTGTATTTTTTCTGCAAAGATATATATTTTTCTGCCCTCCACGGCAGACGAGTTTTACAAATAGTTATGTACGTATTTATTTTAGTTTTATTCGAATCGTAACGTCAAATACAATGAAGACAAAAATTATATTATGTCGTCGCTCTTGGAGCAATGCCCATAGACCAGACTCCCCCAAAACCTCCTATTTAGTTACGCTATCTAATGAATAATTGTTATACTGGTCAGATATGACAAATTTACGTATGTCACCTTAGAACTTTTTTTTTCTAATTGAATTGATTTTGTGGATTCTTATTCGAAGGCTAATTGAGGCGTATAAAATCAAAGGTAGCTAAATGCCTTAATGTAGTTAAATGGATTAACTATGGCGCCATCTTGTTTGGTTAGTCGGACACGCTTTAGTATTTTCATGTTATAACAAATGCAGCTAAATCTCTAGAAAATTCAGTTCAAAAATTTTATTTTTACTCTGTACTCAAATATAAACGAAGTTTTATCATTTTAAATTCAGATTATTAGCAATATTCTTATTCTTTATAAATCTGCTTTAAAATAAAGAATATCGTAGCTATCCGAACAAAGTTATTTCAGCTTCTCAAACCGGGAGTGTTGCTAACACTGGCCCTAGCAAGAGCAGTACTTCGATGGATCGGGAGGATCCGTAATGACGTGTTTGGGGCCGATTTTTGTGTTTACCTGAATATTTGACAGACTTTGATTGAGCTGCCTTTGATTTTATAGGCCTCAATTCTTCTCACGCGGTACCGTTTTTAAGTTAGGAGTAATTAATATGCATGTCTATAAAATAAATTACAATCATCATTTAGCCTTATTCCTGTTTTTCACAGTTCTAACATTTTTTAGTTGGCCCGCATGGGGGTAGTCGTTTGCAGACAAATGCAATTGAATAATTATATTAAATATAATCAAGTGAACGCAAACTACCGTTTAAGTCCCGTAAAGCAATCTCGAATGGTATCCACGCTCTCAGGAGTCCTTTCATTTTTATCTTCTTCGGGACTACTTTTTTCAGAAAAATATGGTTTCTCCGACATTGAACATACAGACGTGGCTGGAGTTTCAGGTGCTGAGCGAACTGTTTTGAAAATCAATTAAAAAAGAATAAAATATAAAGTCATTTTGAGTATAAATTATACTACAGCAAAAACCAATAATTATATGTATGATGTTTCCAGACGGACGCGACATTTATTTTTGTAAATAAAGGTCCGTTTTATTTGGTATCATCGTTTCGATGTTTTTAATTGAACTTCAATTAAATTTACCTCATACAAATAAGTTTTTTTGTTATGATATTTTTTCCAAATTTTAAACTTTAAATGGTTCTCCTGTAAAGTTGCAAAATGTCGCTTAAACCAAATAGCCTTTCACCCCTCGATATTATTATTACTATTTGTTACTACTAACCTTCTTTATCCATTGACTTTAGAAGGTTCTCTTTTGATTTCTCGAAACATCGATCGGAAATATTAAAGTCCCCAGAAAGCCAAGCATTTCTTCTCAACTTCGTACTCCTTGCTATAGGTGTCGTCGGCAAACTGTAGTTTTTTATATCGAAATTGTACGACGGGCGCTCAGAGCCGGTGGGCTCTTTCAAAATAGGACGAATAGAATCGAAATTGTACTCTGGAACTTTTATGTGTAAGGGCTTGTACGACTGTGGCGTGAAGCTCTTACTTAGCTTAGAGAGAGGGCGCTCGACGCTTTGATCTCTATTTATATTGTTGTTGAGTTCAAAATTGACCGTTCGATTCGGACTGAATATGCTACAGTACTCTGTGGAATCGCTACGATGCAGAGTTCCGGGGGTCCCGATGTCTTTAATTCTTGCTCGTATTTTAGTGATCGGCGTCGAGCACGCACTAGACAATCCCTTTTCCGACAAACGATCGTATTGTAAAGACATCTTCTTGTCGTTTATGAAACTTTTTTCCGGGTACGAGTATATTGGGTCTTCGTAATCTTTTTTGATGGTTTCGTAAACGGGGCTGCCTTCGCTTCGCGTGCATTCTTTCTCGCTGCTCTCAGTGGAACTGTCATGGCGGTCGTGAACAACTGAAAAAATTAAATATTAAATAAAGCTTTACAGCGTCTCTATTCATTCATGATTTTTTATTTTTTCTTTGTATGTAGATATTTTGTTACTTCTATGCAGGGCCGGATTTAAACTTAATGCCGCTCCTGGGCACCGGATAAAAATCCGCCCCAATACTGGAATTTTACTTAAAACTTATAGTTTATATATTTAATTTTTCAAAATTAAAATAACTAATTTATTGCAGAAACGTTATCATAATTAATTATGTTATAAATATATTGCAAAAACATACAATATATTTTTTTTGTTCTAACAACTATAAATTTTGCACTAAGGGTGACTCATAATTATATTACATAAAAAAAACTAATTAAATTTCTTTAATTCCAGAAAATAAAAAAATCGATTATTATTTTAAATTTCCAACGAAAGAAATTGGTTGAATGAATCATTATGATTTAAATTTTTTACTAGAAGTAACAAAATTATAATTAACAAATAATGGATGAATTGAATTTTATTATTATAATGTACCATGGATAGATAGAACGTGATTTTTTTTGTCGGGACCGACAGACGAGCTCACGACCCGTCTGGTGGTAAATGGTTGCTGGAGCGCAAAACGTGAATTTCGCCCGCTTTGATACATTTGGTCAAAGTCTCAATTGTATTGCATAAAGACTGTCCCACCCAGCAAACAGAGACGCGCGACTGCTTCGTGGCAGAAACATGCAGGTCGGTGGTACCCTCTTTGACGGTCACAATAACCCTACGAGTCGATTGGCAGTGAGTTAGCAATACCACTGTAAACACTGTCTCAACAAATTAGTGTTTTTCATTGCGTTAGAATTACATACATTTCACGCTTTTAAAAAAACCAACTACTGAACAAAAAAATTGAGGTCTTGTTAGGCATGCGTACGAGTGGCTCACGCAGCCAGAAATTTATGACCCGCATTCGATGCGGTTAAATAATGATGTTATTTACCTGCTCTATGTTCTACGTTTTTTGGACTCTGACATTCAGAAGCTGGAGGTGATGCGGTTTCCCAAGCTGCAGTGCTGAATGTAGCCTTTTTGTGAGGAAGCCGTGCCGGTATTATAAAGTAACCCAAGTCATCCAGGTCGCGCTAAAAATAAATATTTAATGGTATAAATATGTATGTACGAATATTATTTACTAGTATTTCTTTAAAAAAAAATGTGTACAACTAGTACTCATAATAGTAGTTGAAATCTTGTAAATCATCGTGCTATTATGTCCGACTATATACAAAGTATGAAACAATGGAACTTCTGGATTGCAAATAAATTGGGAAACAAAGAAATCAACAAAAAGCCAACATCACGTGGTGTTCCCAGGCGGTCACCCATCCAAGTACTGACCACGCCCGATGTTGCTTGACTTCGGTGATCAGACGAGAACCGGTGTATTCAACATGGTATGGACGTTGGCGATGAAACGATCGTATTATACACATACATGTATATTTTTTTATTGATATTAGGAAATCGTTCGCTCTCAGCTCACCTGGTGTTAAATAATCACCGGAACACAGACACCAAACAATTCAATGCCGCAAAAGATGAGAGAGTCGCGACTCATCAAATCTATGAGTTCTAAATCTCAGTTTTTACAGAACAATGGTTGCCCCACCCTTCAAACCGAACGCATTACTGCTTCAACACAGAAATAGGCAGGGCGGTGGTATCCATTCGTGCGGGCAGTAACGGGTGTTAAAAGTTGATTTAACATTATTAACAAAAAATTAATAGTATGTATTTATATTTATCACTAAGCAATTTTTTACATATTTAATAATATTATAATATCATGCAATTTATAAAATCGTTGATATTTAAACTTAATTTTGGTACATATACGACCTCAATACCTATGTAGTAAAAAATAGTCCGGTATAAATTAACTGAGACTAGATAGGTCGTGACAATTGTATCATCGACAGTAGCCAACTGATTTCTCCTCAGAGCGCCTCAGTGGGTCGTAATTTAGATCTGGGGGTAGATTCAGCGAAACACTGCTAGTTAGGGCTTGTATTAGCAACCCCTCCAAGATCAGGCCCCGTAAGCTCACCTACCAAACCGCGCATAGTTGGAATAGCCCCTTAGGTTCCCAGCGGTTAGGTAAGGAAAAATGGCTTTATCTTTATGTGATAAAGTTCAATACAATAGAATAACTTTGTTCCGTGTCGCGTCGCAATATCGGACGTTATAGGTTCGTTATCACGAAGCACTACTTAGAATTGACCCGGTTCATCAATGTACACAATTAAAACCTTTTGACATCTTGAAGTCTGGCGGTTCATTGGACGTCGTTTATAAATTAGTAGAGTTTACCGCAATTCTTAGGACCTTACCTTTACGTTTTGCAAAGTTTTCTGCAATGTGTCCAAGTCGATGCGTTCGTTCCTTTGTACTTTCAAGCCACTCTGTAGGAGCGCCAGCAGACAACCCGGATAAGTTCCATCATTAGGTAAGTTAACGCCGGACTTCCACAACGTGTACTGTTCCTTCAGCTTTTCGCGGCTCAAGTCCTTCCAAGGTCGTAATGCTACAAATTGGACATTTAAATTATGTGTTTGTTGAAAGCAGAACGCTTACATGACTAGGACTTAATATAGATAACTAAGACCTATTATAATAGTGTTAATAAATAATGTATATAATCTAAATTAAAATAAATACATTTCATAACTTAAAAACACGCTTCTTTGAGCATACGATTTTTATAAAAACACAAAAACCAGTGGCACAGACTTTTTCACATAATAAAATTTAATTAATTCATTCCGATAAATTTGGTGTATGTTAACAATTACAACTTTCCATGGTGCGTTAGAGTATATTCCACCGTAAACAACAAGCTAACTAAAAGGTAGGGCAGTTTTTAATGCACCTAACCCCAAACAGATTACCGCAAACCGAATTCAGAACCTGAAAGTATTTTTTATTCTGATCCTCCTGAACCATATCTTTAACCAAAGTAATAAAATTATGATATTGTCATCAGTCCTAGTCATAAATAAGTAAACACATTATTTTCAAGTTAACCGCGCGTCTTAATATTGGTGAAAATAACGTTGAAAATTTCCACATTACACAATCCATAATCCAGTTGCTTAAATAGTGTAAAAACACATATCGATATACACACGCGCGATTTTCGCAATAAGTACTTGTGATCTTTAGTTTTTGGTTTCGAGAATTTAGGCGGACTCTGGGACCGGCCCGAAGATTTTTCCCCTACCTATTCGCTGGTAGTATAAGAGGCTATTCCAACTACGTGCGGACGGGTAGGTAAGCTCACGGACTCAACCTGAGAGAATTTGCGGACACTCGCCCTAGTAAGAGCAGTGCTTGGCAGAATCTACTGTTACGCCGGTAAGAGTTACGCCATCCACCACCGAATAGCCGTAACGAATATCAAAGGCACTCGTAACGTCGAAAAAGATTAAGAAGTACAACGCCATCTATTATCAGATAGCGGAAACACACACTGAAGCTACTCGACTTACCCAGTATGTTCTCAATAAATCTAGGGATGTCGTATAGACTATAAAAGCGTTGCAGAGTTGGCACGCAGCAGTTAGTAATCGGAACTAACATCGAACGGATCACTTGAAGCGAAGCGGAAGAAGTAAATTAAGAATGTTTAGTGTTCTAGAGTGTTCTAAGTGTTGAATAAGGTTTTAATTTATACTTCGGCAGAATTTTTATTTACCCCGATCCCCAGCACGTAGTACTACTACTGGAACGGAATCGCGACCCACTGACAAGATCCGGCGAGATACTCAGTGGGTTCTGTCTATGTGTTAGTTCGCTCGTCGAACTCTTCGTCATAGTCGACCAGTTCGACGAGGACAGTGACCGGTGCTTGAGGGTTCTAAAAGCACCGAGAGTGAATCCGGATTCATCGGATTCGACAAGAGATGTTTTGGGCGACGGCAGCTTTGCGTTGCCCCGTCGCGGTCGAATAAGGCCAAAGCATGTATTAATGACCACTACATAAACTCACCGTTACAACATTCCCAGAGAATCAAACAGAGCGAATAAACGTCGCTTCTGGAGCACACGTACACGACCCCTGCGTCGTTAGGTGTAAACAATTCCGGAGCGTGCCAGTTGTAAAATTCCGAAGTCTCATACGATTTATATGATTTTTCAACGCAGTTCGATAATCTGTATAATTCAGATTGATTTTCGGAGATGAGAGATTCACAGTCATTCGGTTTTACACGGGCACTATCTGTAAAAAATACAATTAGAATGTAGTGTAATTACAAAATAATGATAAATAAATAAAAGTAATGATACCATAATATAAATGTAAGAAAAATGATAAGTCGTAGAAGCAGTAAAAACTCTCGCTCGAAGGGTGGGGCAGCCCTAGTATTTTTATTATTTATTTATTTTTATACTTTATTTACAAAACAAAACTTGTACACAGGCAGACTTAATGCCATGGGCATTCTCTTCCAGTCGACCATAGGGTGGTGCAGAGATAATGCATGGTAGGTGCATTAACAAAAGAATAACAAACAACAACAACAAAACAAAAAAAAGAACAAAATCAAAACAAAAATCTTCCTTAAAATAACATCTCAGTATTATACAATACACAATGTTAAATATAGGTACTTATATATATTACATATGTCTTTGTATGCATAAATAAACATACTACAATTTAATATACCTATGTATACCATAATTACACACAATTTAATATACATGTAAAGTAATAATATATAAACACACATGAAAGTACACAATTTAGTATTATATTTAAGAATGGCTAAAAGTAAAAGAAAGAAAATATAATAATTGAAAAATAAAATAAATTAGTTTGGAGATGATTCTTCCAGTTTTTTGTGGATGTATTCGCGAGCTTTGAGTTTAAAAGTAAAGCGATTGCTGGTCATCGTGATTTCTTTGGGAAGCGAATTCCATAATATTATGGACTGTACAAAGAAAGAAGAATGTAAAAAATCTGAGCGATGGATAGGACATTGTAAGAGATGATTATGTGAAGAACGTAGACTTTTCTCATGGCTTGCGTTCAAGTACCTAAAATGCGATAGTACTAATCTACTAAGACTCACAGAGCATTTTTCAAGGTGGGTTGTTCTTGTCCTCCGTTTTTGTTGAAGTTTATCGGCTCCGGTAACCACTTAACACCAAGTCGGCCGCGAGCTCGTTCAGCCGTATGAGAAAAAAATTGAAAAAGAACTGTAGTTAGTTAGTGTAGTGTTATTTAATGGAATATTTTCATAAAAACTTAATATTGCTTGAGTTACTTTTAAAACCTGCAATAAGTCAACATTTTGTGGTTTTTCCGGGCGGTGGACGTCAATGATAAAAGCCGCGTATGACGGGTGAAAAGCTGTGTGCCGTCACTAGTTACCAAAAGAAAACAAAGCAAAAAGCCAACATCACGTGGTGTTCCCAGGCGGTCACCCATCCAAGTACTGACCACGCCCGATGTTGCTTGACTTCGGTGATCGGACGAGAACCGGTGTATTCAACATGGTATGGACGTTGGCGCTGACACGATCGTATTGAACGAAGAAAATCTGTGTGTCATCACGAGTTACCAAAAGAAAACAAAGCAAAAAGCCAACACATCACGTGGTGTTCCCAGGCGGTCACCCATCCAAGTACTGACCACGCCCGATGTTGCTTGACTTCGGTGATCGGACGAGAACCGGTGTATTCAACATGGTATGGACGTTGGCGATGACACGATCGTATTGAACGAAGAAAATATGTGTGTCATCACGAGTTACCTAAAGAAAACAAAGCAAAAAGCCAACATCACGTGGTGTTCCCAGGCGGTCACCCATCCAAGTACTGACCACGCCCGATGTTGCTTGACTTCGGTGATCGGACGAGAACCGGTGTATTCAACATGGTATGGACGTTGGCGATGACACGATCGTATTGAACGAAGAAAATCTGTGTGTCATCACGAGTTACCAAAAGAAAACAAAGCAAAAAATCAACACTGAGACCTTAGAACTTATATCTCGAGGTGGGTGGCGCATTTACGTTGTAGATGTCTATGGGCTCCAGTAACCACTTAACACCAGGTGGGCTGTGAGCTCGTCGATCCATCTAACCAATAAAAAAAGAAAAAAAACCCATATAGACGTTGGCGATGAAACGGTCGTATTGCACGGAGAAAATCTGCGTGTCGTCACTAGTTACCAAAAGAAAACAAAGCAAAAAGCCAACATCACGTGGTGTTCCCAGGCGGTCACCCATCCAAGTACTGACCACGCCCGATGTTGCTTGACTTCGGTGATCGGACGAGAACCGGTGTATTCAACATGGTATGGACGTTGGCGATGAAACGATCGTATTGCACGAAGAAAATCTGTGCTATTATAAGTTACCAAAAGAAAACAAAGCAAAAAGCCAACATCACGTGGTGTTCCCAGGCGGTCACCCATCCAAGTACTGACCACGCCCGATGTTGCTTGACTTCGGTGATCGGACGAGAACCGGTGTATTCAACATGGTATGGACGTTGGCGATGAAACGGTCGTATTGCACGAAGAAAATGGGGACTATACATTTCTTGTCACCAACATTTTTATTTGTCATTAAGTTGTATTAAACTTACTACACTTAATAGATCTATCGCCACGAAACACTTTCTATCAAATTAATGTTAATATATGTGTAAAATAAGAGATGTATTACCAACAAAATTGTAGTGCATTAGATGAATATAAACTTCATTCTTAAAATAATAGTTTTATTACTTAAAAAATAGCTTTGTGCTTAGAATGGTAGATCTGTCACCAAATGATAATCGATCGATAATCGATCCCTGACTGCGACTCCTTTTTTTGTTATTTTGTCACCAATACAGTAGTTACAGTTTATTTCGTTCAGTTATTAAAATAATATTATTGGTTACCAATTTAATAAATCAATTTATAATTTTAATGAAAATATGTTCAGAGACAAATTGGCGCGCTTTCCGGCCTCAACGAATGGGTCGTAGGTAACTAGGTAAAATCAAACGATGCGCTGGCTCACATGGGTTCACCAGCGACTAATAAAATGCATTAGAATAACATAACCGAGTAATTAAAGATGAATACACGCTCCGTGAACGTTTGCCACTGTCTCTTTTCTTGATAGTTGCTTCAGAGTTTGTAAATGGATCGTCGTTAGCTGTCGATGAAGTATTTGCGATATTACAAAACTATGACTGAAAAACTGGATAGAAGCCTACCAATGGGCGAAGTTGCCCAAAGAAGTAATACTCACGTATAGTGACGATACTTTTAAACACGTACCGGCTGGTAAGGCAGACAAAATACAAAACTTAGAAAATGCATGGACAAATTTTGATGACTACAAAGTCCAATGGTTCAGCAAACGGAGAGTGGTTCTACCGCACAATATTGATTGGATGCATGGGAAATACCCTGCGTTTTACAAAAATTATATGTGCAAACATATTATCGGATTAACCATACGCTTAAAGCTGGCCAACCCCACACCAGAAGCAAAAAATGTGCTTATCGGCTTCGATCAACAATTATTACTATTACACACTAACATTTAACAATTATTATTACATATACAGTCGTGGTCAACTAATTAGGGACAATCTCTAGTTAAGCCAAATTGTGAATATTTTTTTTATTTTCCAACGAGTCTTAGCAATATTCCATATCTTTTACATGTAAGTGTGTCTATGCGCACAAAAACTACCAAAAAAAGAAATCGGTCAACGAGCACTACTGCGACCGCACCGTCACTTCTCTCGCAGCAACCTTACGCACAACACCTATGTACCTGTATATTGTCACGGCCGTTATTTTAAATATAATTTAGAAGGAAAAAATAAAATATTCATTTCGTCTGTACACCACTGCTTGCCTCCTCTTCCTCGCCAACATTGGTCCATCGAGCCGAATAATTTCATCCACCATACGAAGACGGATCAGCTTCCGACCGCCAGAGAAAAGAGTGATCAGCATCGCAAACGGTGTATTTCGGTAAGACGGCCACTAGTTTCCTTCCCATCCTCATTGCCTACCTGTGCTAATAGCGTTCTATCTGCAGATTCCAGTGTTAATTGCGTCTACGGGTCGCCATTTTGTCGTGGTTACCTACCGTGCAGAACTTACTACACGTAGTTTACCTAGAACGAAAACCGTAAGTACTCCGTGTTTTTCTATCACCCACCAAAATGAGCACCGAGAAATTAATGATTCCAGAAAAATCTCCCAAAAGTCCAATTTCAAAAAGCAATGACCCTCTATCCAATTTAATTAAAAAAAGAGGTATAATTAGAGGCAGATTAACAGTTTTAACGAAACAAATTAATAGCTTGGATCAGAATTCACTAGTTTCATGTACAAATAAACGCGCAGAATTAGAATTACGGCTTTCGACGGCTTCTAAAATGTTTGATGAGTTCAGTGAAATACAAAGCGAGATTGAACTATCAGTCAACGATCATGACCTTTTCCAACAACTGGAATTACGCGAAGGCTNACCCGAAACATACCGCCCATTCAGTCAAGTCGTTTCTTACCAGTCAGTTTGTATCGGTGCTAGATTGGCCAGCAAATAGCCCGGACCTCAACCCAATTGAGCACCTTTGGCACGAAATCAAGAAAAAAGTTGCCACTTATCGTAATACAAATTTGGATGAACTTCATGAAGCTTTTTGTGAGGCATGGGCAAACATTCCTCTCGAAACATGTCAGAAACTGATAATGTCTATGCCACATCGGTGTCAAGCGGTAATTACTAACAAAGGTTTTGCTATTGGGTACTGATTTTACACGTAATAAAATGGAGCTGTTAAAGATATTATAACACTGAAGATTATAAGTTTTGTGTAACTGTATTTTTCATTACACTTTACTGTCCTTAATTAAATGTCCACTACAGAATTGTACCTTAATATTTAATACATGTTTAATCTTTAATATTAAATACTTTTTCTATTTATTAAATCTTTTATTTACAGCCATTTATAGCATAATAATCGGACCACATTATGCAAATATAATAGGTGCTGAGAAATCAATAGGGTTTTATATTTAAATGTACATAACCGGTTATAGCCCTTCACTATCTTGAATGTCCCTAATTAGTTGACCACGACTGTATATACTATTGTTGATCGAAGCTTATAGACCAGAAAAGAAAAAGGAGGCTCCCTTCAAAATCCAAATTAGCGCTGATTATTCAGTGAATATTATTTTTAACAATAAATATTTATTATTTTGAGTTTGAGTGTTTTATTTAATATATTCTGCTAGAAATTTTATTTAAATATATTTGTACTATCGGTGGAAATTGAGATCCTTGGGGAAGGCATAATATGACCGGTTAAGTAGTAGACTCTTTTGATTGAAACGATGATGACGAAAACCCAAAATTTTTTTTTTTAACTTTATCAAATTTGATTTTGACATAATATACGATTTATTGGTGATATCTTTAAATTAGTTGGCTTAAATACTTATTAGAACAAACCTATTATAATACGTATAAAAACATTTATTTGGAACTAGACCCTATATCTTCATAATTTTATTATTTGGTGACTATTGTGGAATTGATTTTATACATGATTATTGTGGAATTGATTTTCTATTATTTGGTGACTACATTTTGGTGACAAATGTACTATTTTGCGTGCAAACCCTATTATTTAAGAAACACATAACTAATTAAATTGGCGATAGCATATATGATACCCGAAGAAAATTTGTGTGTCGTCACGAGTTACCAAAATAAAAAAAAAGCAAAAAGCCAACTTTTTTTTTTTCTACCTAATCTGGTAGCCTTGAGAGGCTATTCCAGCGTAACCTTAACTAGTAGGTGAGCTCACGGGGCTCAAGCCTGACGACGTTGCTAACACGAACCCTAGCAAGAGCCGTGCTTCGCAGAATCTACTACCAGATCCGAAACGCGATCCACTGAGAAGATCCGGCGAGAAACTCAGTGGGCTGTGTCTGAGGGTTAATTTACTCGTCGAGCCCTTCGTCGGAAGCGACGGGTTCGACGAGAACGGTGACCGGTGCTTGAAGTACCTAAAAGGGCCGTTAGTGGATCGGGAGGATCCAAGACGACGTTGGCGATAAAACGATCGTATTGCACGAAGAAAATCTGTGTCATCAGGAGTTACTAAAAGGAAACAAAGCAAAAAGCCAACATCACGTGGTGTTCCCAGGCGGTCACCCATCCAAGTACTGACCACGCCCGATGTTGCTTGACTTCGGTGATCGGACGAGAACCGGTGTATTCAACATGGTATGGACGTTGGCGACGAAACGGTCGTATTGCACGGAGAAAATCTGCGTGTCGTCACTAGTTACCAAAAGACAACAAAGCAAAAAGCCAACATCACGTGGTGTTCCCAGGCGGTCACCCATCCAAGTACTGACCACGCCCGATGTTGCTTGACTTCGGTGATCGGACGAGAACCGGTGTATTCAACATGGTATGGACGTTGGCGATGAAATGGTCGTATTGCACGGAGAAAATCTGCGTGTCGTCACAAGTTACCAAAAGAAAACAAAGCAAAAAGCCAACATCACGTGGTGTTCCCAGGCGGTCACCCATCCAAGTACTGACCACGCCCGATGTTGCTTGACTTCGGTGATCGGACGAGAACCGGTGTATTCAACATGGTATGGACGTTGGCGACGAAACGATCGTATTGCACGAAGAAAATCTGTGTGTCATCACTATTTACTAAAAGAAAACAAAGCAAAAAGCCAACATCACGTGGTGTTCCCAGGCGGTCACCCATCCAAGTACTGACCACGCCCGATGTTGCTTGACTTCGGTGATCGGACGAGAACCGGTGTATTCAACATGGTATGGACGTTGGCGATGAAACGATCGTATTGCACGAAGAAAATCTGTGTGCTATTACAAGTTACCAAAAGAAAACAAAGCAAAAAGCCAACATCACGTGGTGTTCCCAGGCGGTCACCCATCCAAGTACTGACCACGCCCGATGTTGCTTGACTTCGGTGATCGGACGAGAACCGGTGTATTCAACATGGTATGGACGTTGGCGATGAAACGATTGTATTGCACGGAGAAAATCTGCGTGTCGTCTCACTAGTTACCAAAAGAAAACAAAGCAAAAAGCCAACATCACGTGGTGTTCCCAGGCGGTCACCCATCCAAGTACTGACCACGCCCGATGTTGCTTGACTTCGGTGATCGGACGAGAACCGGTGTATTCAACATGGTATGGACGTTGGCGATGAAACGATCGTATTGCACGAAGAAAATCTGTGCTAGGTATTATAAGTTACCAAAAGAAAACAAAGCAAAAAGCCAACATCACGTGGTGTTCCCAGGCGGTCACCCATCCAAGTACTGACCACGCCCGATGTTGCTTGACTTCGGTGATCGGACGAGAACCGGTGTATTCAACATGGTATGGACGTTGGCGATGAAACGGTCGTATTGCACGATGAGGATCAGCGTGTCGTCAGTTCGTCACATTAGTAATTAGTACTCTTATTTATAAACAAATATATAACTTCTTTGTAAATATATAACTGATGAAAACCTCGTCATTATCGTTTAAGTGCTTCAAGTTTTTTTTAAAGAAAAAGTGTGAAAAGTGTTATTAGTTAAATAAATTATTTTTCATACATTATTTGTTAACAATAAAAAAAAAATCATCGGCTCAATTCCGAATTATTTACAGTTTTGGGGAGCAGTAACCACTTAGAATCAATTACACAATATTTAGCTACATACCTTGGATGGCCTCATACTGGGGTTCGGGGTTGTATACCTCATATTCTTTCTTTCGTTTGAGTAATGTTCTCGGCGCCTTCGTACAGGGACCCACGTCGACCAGCTTGGCCGTGTCGTGATCCGTTATCATTACACACGCGCTGTTCAGTTCCGTGTGTATGAAACCTTGCATTCGCAAGAAAACTAGAGCATTCGATATGTCCAGTGCGTACTGCACCGCCGTCTGAGCGCTTAGTATGCGACCCTGAAAACAACGAACTGGACCTTAGAGATCATAACAAAATAAATGAATAAGCGCATGCCCGTAAAGGGTACCGTACTACAAAGAACAAGTTTAAAATTCAATGCAAATGATATAAATAAATTTTGCATGTATTAAAAATAAACAAATAATCCTGTAAACGAATATATGGCTGTTCCCACAAACTTAAGCTTCGATAAACTTAATAACTTCTTGAGTAATGACTGTGATAAGGTACACGTGAAATAAACAAAACATTAGATCAGGTTCATATTTTAAATCACTAAATAAAATTTAATAACTCTCACTTTATTTTGAAACCAATCAAAACGTATGATGTCATACGTGCCTAATCGTTTTACATTAGTGTGTCCTTTTCATTGTACGTTTCACAGCACTTTAATGAAGTCACAAGTATGTAATGAAATAGCATTCAGTTTTATTAAGTTTGCAAGGCCATTCTTTAATACATATGAGTGCAGACCGACTGCCTGCTATAACGAAGCTCCGTTCATCAGCTGATTATGATGGAGATGCGTAAAGGAGCTCTGTGTGCTTAGTGCGAGTTTTTTAACGTTCTCGATAGCGTAAAAGTTAGCTCATATTTGTATGGAATGGGATCGTTTGCGTACGTTTGTCGCTAGGGGCGCTGTTCCAACTGCATACAAAATTGGCTTAACTTTTACACTATCGAGAGCAGAAACTCGCACTAAGTACACTGAGAAGAGATCGTCTGGCTACAAAACTAAAGAAGGCATTAAACGTGGGTTAACGCCTGATCATGCAACTGAGCAATAGGACACCAGTACATTTAAGGCGTTAGTCATCTTTGCGCGTCTCGACACGACTGCTAATTGGTTCACCCTGGCCATAGACAGTCAACGGCAATATATATCTTCTTTTCAATCATGTCACCCTTGACAGAGTGGTCGTGATAGTCATGTAGCATTGGTAGCATTAAAAGGAAAAATATATATTTAAAAATGGCGGGGACGTCATGATTTTTTTTTAATTTTTCGTAACTACCCTCACTAACCTATTAAAATAATTCTAACATGTTAGTTTTTAGAATAGATATATAAAATTCTAGACGTTTCCGATTTTGTATCCCGTTGTAACTTCTTGATAAATTAAAAAAAAAAAATGTAGTGAACATCATGTACTTTTTATTCCTTTGTTTGTTTATAATCTACTCAAATTAAAATTTAACTTAAATAAAGACATATACACAACTTGCATAGGGTCGGTTAACTTAATAGTCGCCAGAGACAACCACTTATTATAAATTAAATTAGAAAAAAATTACAAAATATATAAAAAATATTAAACATCAAAATACCTTTTCGTGAATAATTCCATATAAGGTATCGACGCATCGTTCGCAGATTAAGTGAATGTTGTTCTGTGCATCCGGATACAGGCCCATCAATAAGATAATGTTCGGGTGACGACATTTTCTGAAATAAACAAGCATGTATTAAAAAAAAAAACTTTTAATAACGCTGACGCAGTTAGCTAAGCTCATCAACTTTTTAACGCGAATACACTGTAACTCAATATAATATGCTTATTTACTATGGAGTCGTGTCGTACATGTGTTTCAAAGTGAAAACCACTTCAGCACCGTTGTAATATAAAAGTTGCTAGAATGGAAATGAAACTCAGAAAGTGGCGGTAACAAAACAAACGCTTGAGGAACCGAAAGAATGAGATACTAGCAAGTACCAATCACACACACGAATTCTATTATATTTAGTTTTTGTTATTCCTTGTGTAAACTCAGAGCTCACGGTTTACGTGTTATTAAAATGGTAATTGCAGTCGTCGTGGCCTAAACAATAAGACGTCCGCTGTATTCGTATCTAGCGATGCACCGGTGTTCGAATCCCGCAGGCGGGTACCATTTTTCCAATGTATAATAATAATAATACGTATTTAACAAATGCTCACGATTGACTTCTACGGCGAAGGAATAACATCGTGTAATATAAAATGAAACCCACAAAATTATAATTTGCGTGATTACTGGTGGTAGGACGTCTTGAGTCCGCACGGGTAGGTACCACCGCCCTACCAAATGAAACCTTACAACTCATGTCTGAAGGTGGAGGGCGGCATTTACGTTCTAGATGTCTGTAGATGACAACGTGAACTACCTGGCTTATTTCTATACACGCGGTTGAAATATCAATTGTACAGTTTAAAGATTGTCCTGCTGATGTACAGGGGTTTACTGCTCGTGGTAATCGCTAACACCAGGTGAGCTATTAAATCGACCTTCTGTCTAGAGCAACAACGGCTTCCTGAATTTTCTATGTAAATTACTTAAATCCTCTCTGATAAAGTCAGTATTCAAATGGAATTGTTGTAATCGTGTTTTCGGGTGATTGTATAATTATTGGTATACCGCGCAACAACAGATTAAAGACCCGCATTTCGTGTTTCCCAATAACTTCGAGTCTGAAAGCTTATTTTTTATTTTTATTTAAACGCGACAACACCGTATCGTTACAGATATTCGTTCGTACGGGCTCTTAGGAAACCGTATTACCATTTGCATTTTGCACAGTTTAGTTCTAAATAGTCGACAACTCAAATTGATATTATGTGAAACAAAATTATGAGCAAATCAAAGCGAACGCAGTTTTTTAATCGTTGGTAGTCTAAGGGACTATTCCAACTTCGCGCGGACCGGTAGGTGAGCTCACAAGAACAACCTGAGAGAATTGCTAATACTAGCCCTAGCAAGATCAGTGCTTCGCAGAATCTACTGCTGGATCGGAATCGCGACCCGTTAAGAAACTCGGCGTGAAACTCAGTGGGTGGCGCTGTTAACGGCACGGAAGAAATGAGTCTAACACAATAACACATTATTATTTACGTACCAGTTCCATTGACAATCTTACCGTAATATATTAATCTCGGTGTTCCGTTTCTTCCTAACATGTTGAGCGGTTACACCGACCAACTTCTTAATCTGAACCGGAACTACACCCCACTTGCCGTTATTCCACGTCTTAGCCTTATCTATTGTCATGTCGAGACTCCTGGCACTCGCAATTGGCAAACCAAAAGCGCTCGTATCGCTCTACAAATAAAACTAAAAATCAGTTCCAAGTTCATAAATTATCAAGCAGATGATTTTAACCATAAACCGACCTTGCTGTCATCTGATTTGGTCGTGTTTGGTGACCTAACCAACTGCTCATCCGCCCATTGATCAAAGTTCTTCAACTCGCTCATTACCTCCCATAGCTTATCTTCACAGCTGTCATCTTTGTTGACACTTTCGGATTCCGAATTATTGAAGGATTTCACGTCGCCCGCTTTATTCAAGCCGTCCACCTCTTCGTGGAATATTCTGGAAGTTCCCAGAAAGTCTTTCGTTTCAAAAGGCAAGGAACTATTCTTGTAGAAATCAGGTGGCGAATCAACCTGATCATCCTCGTGGAAGTCAATGTGTTTCTGAGCAACGAAATCCAAATCGGGAGATCGACAGACGTGTCGTCGGGTGCGGTGGTGGGTCTTATGGGGTTCAGAATACGAAGGGTTCGGAAACATATTCCCGGGCATGAACACTTGGTTCTGGAACAAAAATTGTATGTTCGGAACGCCTTCGTACACTTTCTCTGGTGTTGTACTTCGATTGCGCTGATCTTGTTTCTTTTTGTATTTGATAGCGGATTTTTTTTCATAGTTGAAGGTGTTATCGTGATCTGCGGAACAGTCGGTGCACGAAACCGGAAGAGAGTGTCGTGAACGTTTTTCTTTAACCGGAGTTTCTTGTAGATCTCTGTTCCCAATAGAACGTCTGGCTTGGAACTCCGCTAAATCACGTTTGTACTCTTCAGTGCGGACGGCGTTTATTTGCGGGTCTCGTGCATTCTGTTCCTCTGGAACTGTGGACGTCGGGCTGACGCTGTGACGAGTGGTCACAGTCACACGTTCCCTAAAATAAGTAAACAAACAGTACAGAATTTGTAATTGACATATGTATTAAATAGATGGAAACTTCGATTAAAAATCTGAGAAAATAAAACCAAAAGAAAATTCCACAATTCAGTTACTTAATGGACATATGTATTGTAATAACGTTTTGGTGGGCATTTATGAAATAGAAACGCTATTACAAGCCCACAAGCTACAGTATTTAATAATTGATTTACCATTAAGGATATTTGAATTTGACATCTGTTGTGTACGATTTAGCTCCTAGCCTGTGTTTATTTATAATTTGTATGTTCGATATTTCCCTCGAATTTCAAGTTTTCTGACACAAATTTCTGCACTAGTTTGCCTTATGTTAGAGATAAAAAACATATTATGGGACAGCATAGGCATAGTCCGTAGAATAATTACGGCGACAATGACCGCTCACCGTCATGTGGATCAAACGACTGACTGCACTGACAGTAATAACAATTAGCAATTAGCAAAATTTTCGATATTTCCCTCGAATTTCAAGATTTCTGACACAAATTTCTGCACTAGTTTGCCTTATGTTAGAGATTAAAAAATATTATGGGACAGCATAGGCATAGTCCGTAGAATAATTACAGCGACAGTGACCGCTCACCGTCATGTGGGTCAAACGACTGACTGCACAGACAGTAATAACAATTAGCAATTAGCAAAATTTCAGGGCAATACTAAATGAACAACGTAAAATTTGTTAAATTAATTCAAATTATCGCTATCAAGATTAAAATGACTTCGTGTCTGAAATAACAAGGCCATTAAAAATGTTAAAATTAAGTTGTATTTCATAACCGACTCGTGTTCTCCGATGTTAAAAAAAGATTAAATTCGTTAACATAGTTAATTTACTTATGGTACATTATGATACAAGGTTTACGTTAAGTTCCAAGTCAACGACTGGAAAAAAATCTTTACCATCAAACTGTAACAATGAACAACAGATAGTAGTTCGACAGGCACGTAATGAGAAACGCGTTGTTAATATTTTTTATACGCACGTAAAACATCTTTAGAAGTTATAATGTACGTAAAAGTTCGTTAATAGCATTTAGCATTGAAGTCTTTAGGGTATGGTAATTATCTAAACAGACCTTTTCTTTTAGGCCGTAATGATTACTTGTGGCCCGAAATTATTTCCAGTTACCGACCCGAAAATTAGGCGCAAGGGTGGAAACTGAACCCATAAATGGGAATGTGCGTGGGATTGTTATGGTGCGTGCGGGCCGGTAGTGTGACAATAATAGGGCTGATGTTTTATCTACATCCAATAGGTGAATGACAGCATTAACATCACTTACTTATAAATATTGATATTCCGCTATTAAATGTTATTTTTCGGCACATATGGTGCTAGGCGTTTACCGATACTGTATCTCGTCAAGACCATAGCGTAGATGCCACTAGCTCACACAGTGATCATGATTTTATATTTAAACTAGCTGACCCGGCAAATGTTGTTTTGCCATATACATATAAGATTTCTAGGGAATTTCTAGCGTAGAAAAAAAAAGCTAACTTATTGTAAGTGTGAAAGGATGTGGTAAATGAGTGAAAGAGACATGAAGCGCTGTGAACGATGAGGGAATATAAAAATAACAAAACCTCATTCAATCACGTAATGCCTCAATATAACAAAAAAAAAATGTCCATAAAATAAAAAATTAATGTTAGGGTGGACAACCCTTATCACTTATTCTCAGCTCATTAAAATCTCATAAGAATCGGTCAAACCGTTTCAGAGGAGTATAGTAACTAACGTTGTGACACGAGAATTTTATATATAAGATAAGTTTTAAAAATAGTATCACCAAGTTCGTACCAGTCGCTCCGCTTAGTTCGGTGAGCAAAAGCGTGGGATTGTTTCGGGTCACCGCACACGAAGTACACTTGACAAAACTAATGGATTACGGCGAGTAGCCGAGGTATTCTTACGGTCTACCTGTCACACTTTACTTTTATCTATGCTATGTTGATTTTTTAAAGTGAAATATACTTTACCTACATTATTGCACGCTGAAAACAAAAATAGCAGTCATCATTATGTTATTTTTATTTGGAAATCCATCAATATCTCGTACAAAACCAAAAGAAGACAGGGGTGAATGCAAATCAACGCTATTCCATATCAGTCATTTTCGATTTTGTTGTTTTACTTATTTACTTCTTAAAATGTTTTTTTTTGTAACAGATATATTATTTTATTATTATTATTGTTGTATTTATTAAAATGTTATTATATGTACATACGATATTCAAAGAACACAGGATAAAAATAAAAAGTTTAAGAAATACTGCTGGTGGCGGTGGCGAAGAAACCTCTTTTTAGAGTTCCAGAGTGACTAAACTCCACACAATATGTGCCGTCTGCTTTCTGAACACGGCCTCTAAACTAGCTGGATAACGAAAGTTTCTTATGGTGTTGGTAGGCTGGTAGGTAGGTTTTCGCTATCAAGCCGTGCACCGACATTTTTACAATTATTATTTTATTATTATTATTATTATTATAGCACTAAAACGTAGGCAAAGGACGCGTCCGGGCAAACAGCATAGACATACTGGCGTATTTATTAAAAAAAAAAAGGTTTTATTCGGAATCGTTTAGAGTTTTCGTATCTTTTCGTAATTTTTTTCAACGCTAGTGGAACAATTACAATTTTTAAGACCCGACTTTAGACCCTGCTGATACATACGTATGAATGAATTCGAAATGTTAGAACTATGTCAGAGCTGATGTCGATGTAAATACACTACACAATTTTAAATGATTTTACGGTTTCATATCGTTTTTGTCGTGACTACCGAAATATGATGTCGTCGTAGCCTTTTTTTGGTCCAGGAGGAAATCGTCGGACTTCGCCTACGCATTGGGGCGGTACGCCGGACATGTCATTGTCAGAGTTGATTCGATTAAACAACCTGTTGCTCAACAACTGGCGTCCGAGTCTCAGATGACAAAACTCTCTCCGCAGGCAGGAGGAGGTGAAGTATAGCATTTCGCGCGTATCCATATTTTGGAGAAAGTGTGATCGCCACTTCTCCAGACTTGGTTGGTTTGCTCGCACGATGAGCGAACTTAAGAGCTCAGTGAAGACGATAAGATTTGGCTAAAAACTGTCCGAATACCCTTAAAGGGTTCCTACGTTCAAGGTAGCCGGTTCGTGAATGCATTTACTACCGGATCAATATCGCGACCCACTGAAAATCCGGCAAGAACTTTTCGACAAGTACGGTGCCCTGTGATTTAGCTGCTAGTATTAGGATTAATAGTGCCCGACAGCAGTTATTTCATTGCAACTTCGCTTTCCAGAAAATGTAGAAATTAAGACGGCGACATGCTTATGATTATGTCCACGGGCCCTTCTATTATTTTAAGTCTATTTTTAAACAAATTCATCGATAATCAAAATAACATTCTCCATATTTCCTTGACCTATACGCACATTTACATCGGGTCTATTTGATAACAGGATTACCGTTAGTATTTTTATTATTGGTACGATCTTTTCTCACGGTTAGACCAAACAAAATTCAACTCGCTCCAAATACGAACGTCAGTTCTAAAATGGAAAGTGTCTTTTGAGAAGTCAGTGCTTCTGTGAATTGACTTTGTAATAGTACGAATTGTATAATTTGAATGTGAAGAAGAAAAAAAAACTAACAAAAGAATATAATAATGAGCGGAATAACTGGCGAGCAGTGATTATAATCACGACAACTCGTTGGATTGACGTTCGATATACTTTTATGCAATATTGATTTCATCATCTTTTAATTTTACAACAATACTTTTTGATCAGTGATAAGAGTGAAACAAATACTTATATAGAACTTTTCTAATTTTTACAGTTCATGTGCTTCTTGAAAAGAAATTATTATTTTATTTCAAAATGTAAAATTTGCTATTAAAACAGTTAATAAATTAGCAAATTAAATACTAAAATTTTACACGGCCAAGTTTCAACATTTCACTTTTTGAAATCGAATAGGCGTAAATGTCAAAAACCCGGAAGCTATAATAAAGTAAAACAATGCATTACGTAATTTAGCAATTAAATTGGAAATAATTTCGTAGTTTCGGATACGATTTCCATTATCCAATGACACGATGATAGCCCTCTTATATAAATAAGAAACTGTCCGATCCGGCCATCAATTTTAGTTATTTGTAATGCAATAAGAAAATAATCGAACGCCGGCTATCAACAAATAGTGAAAGTGAAATTTCAATTATACTGTTTTAGTGAATGCATCGAAAGGTCCAATATTGAACCCAGTAATTAATGGAGGCATCAATCATGTTTTAAAAAAAAAATAGTCTTTTGTAGTCTACATTCGCGAAATCGTTCGATCGTGCACAATAAATTGCCGAGCGAAAGAGTAATCGTCTCTTTATTCTTTTTATTCTGTCCGAAAATTCAGATCGAAAGTTAGTAGGTGAGATTCGTCACGCTTGCAGGATAGTTAAAGAGTGGAACACTTAAAGAACTAAAAAGTTAGCACCGGTTAGTCACCGAACTAAGAAATCGGGCGACTCTGGTAAAGACTGTCATTGTCGTTGCTGTCTAAAAATATTACAAAACTTTGTATTGATGTCGTAACTGCATTTCTTTCGGATATAATCTAGTGAATAAAACGAAACTGTTATATAATTCTGTATCAATATTCTGATTAGAACTTGAATTATAAAGTAACTAAACTTTAGCTTACACTTTCGTACGCCTATCTAAAAGTTAGTAAAGGGCAGATTTTCGTTACGTGTGATGTCATTAGGGTCCCAAATGAAGCGAGCGGCTGTTCTATGGGCTATGAAACTATAATATATTGATTTCCATGTCCATTTCGGCTTCTCCTGATGGGTGGTTACTGGTGCATACATCGATATATTACCATAATAATATATCGATGGGTGCATATAACAAAACTGAATTCAACTAAAACACAACATCCTATGTTGTGTGTACATGACATCATAAAATTTGTGTTAAAAATATTAAAACTGATAGGTTTTTAGGATACTAAATAAAACCTATTAGTTTTTTAGATTTCATATGATGTTTAATAACTAAACTAAACTTAAATAAGAATAACAATTGGATCCTTTTAATTGAAATAGCATAAATAAAAACTCTAATTAGACTTTTTTGTTATTGGTTTCCGTTTTCCCATTCAATATACGCTATAAAATTGACAATAATTTTTTTATTGTCATCAGAATACATAAAAATTCAAAACAAATACATAGGAAATACTTACTAGTAATATTGGTCGTTACATGATTATTATCGATACCTAAAATTCTACCAACTTCAGCCACTGGGAATACTAGGCGTGTCAAAACACTAAAAAGGAAAAAATCACGTGCTTCACAGACCGCCTAGGTTGTAACAATATGCACCATTAGTAGGAAATATAATAAAACATTGCCATTTCATGGCAACATAATTCTTATAAATATTATTCCATCATAGTTTTTTTTTTATGATTGAAGGATTGCTGGTGGCCCTGAGGCCTTTCCAGTTTCACCAGGACAGCTGGGCGAGCAAAGACAGCCAGGTGTGGGATTTGCTAATAGCTGCCCGAGCGCCTCCGTAAAAGACCTACCAACTCAAGAGCAACTGCTTCGCGAATGAATCTACTACCGGATCGAAATCGCGACCGCAACCGCTGAGAAGATCCGGCGAGAAACTCCGCGGGCTGATGCATGGATTAGGATGCACGTCGAACTCTTTGCCGAGTTCGACGAATACGGTTACCGGGGACCCTTAGCCTGCTCCTAGTGTTAGAGCTGAAGGCGTCGATAATCACAGTATTTCACGAGTGTTAAAGGTGCCTATTAGTTTAGACAAATTGCGTACTCGCTCCTCGATTTTTATTCGGGTACAGTCGTATTTCTCGAGACTACAATGCACGCCGTAACATAAGGCATCGGAGAGATTATGTGGGTATAATGTAATAATTTCACTCGATTCAATATTATTACGTGTTAATGCAGTATCACAAATCCATCGTGAATATTTAGACGGATAATCTTTGAAATGGTACAAATTAAGTTTAATAAACAGAGAAGACGATGGTTTTTTAAGGGGTTATTCCAGCTCTCCATGGATGGATAGGTGAGCTCACGGGTTCAAACCGAGAGCATTTGCTTACACCAACCATAGCAAGAGCAGCGCTTCGCAGGATCTAGTAGCGGATTGGAATCGCGACCCACTAATAAGTAGATCAGACGAGAAACTTGGTGGTCAAGACGGTATGAACACGGAAAAGCTTCTACCGATTCTATACAGAACCCTGCCAACAATTGACTAGCGAATACGCAAATTCAATACCTACCTAGTTTGTTCTGTATCTCTATATTAATTACCTTCGCTGCGAAAATATCTACTAAACTTGTACCGTACGTTTTCCATTTCTTTCTATTCAGAGTACCGAATAACAAGGAAGTAGGTATATTGATAACTGTAAAAATTTTAATTTCGCATTGTCAGGCAGTGTGTCAATTATTTCAAGTATACTCGTATTGTTGCATTACTAGCGGTTTTTAGCTTAATGTTGATGTAAGAGTATAGAATTTTCATTTATCACGCGATTTTTATTCTTGTTTAATAAAGCGTTGTTAACGATAAAACTTTTGAAATTCATAATCTTCAGTTGCGTAATATTGAAATATTTATAGATTTATTTTATATATTTATTGACATTTGGAAATCAATTCCTTGTTTTCGTTAAAGAAAATAATAAGGACTTTGCTGTTTTATATTATTATTGTTTCAAGTGCACGCCGCCTATTTAATTTATATAGTTATGATATTATTCTTTAATTAATGTTGTAATGTTGTACGATTCCCGTCGGATTAGAAAAAAATAGCAAATTCGTCCAAGTAGGTACGTCGATTTAGAATTGACACCGTGAAGGTTGTAGTCGCTATTTGGGCCAAGAAATAATCGTTCTTACCCACGCCACGTACGAACTTTCGAAGTATGCTACCGCCATGTATCCCGAAACCATAGATCTACATAACGTCTCGCTTCTGCGGAAGTCAGCTATCCATTGACAATAAAATTTAAGATTGTATTTTAATTTGCCTTGTTAATCACTCTTAGGTGATCCCCACCTACCTCATTTGAGCAATCTAGATCTGATCAAACCGAATTTCATTAGACCAGAATAATTTGTTTCAATAATTGAAGTGCATAGAATTTTACAATGGTTCATCTCTCACAATTGTGAATGGTGACCTCCATTCAATAAATCACCATTCAAAAATAATGAAAAGAGCACAAATCTGATGATTCAACATTTAGGTGGAGACATCACAATGTAGATGTAGCTGCCATTGTTACAAAAATCATGATTAAGTTTTACATGTTTAAATGTTGACACACCATTTGAATGTTTGTTGGGAAATCTGTTTCTTATTGGAAGATTTCTTTAAAAAAAGTTTTTATATTTTATTGAATATAATAATTAATAAAGTTTTAAAAGTAATTTATTATTCATTAATTTTGATTGAATGGATTGTGGGATCACTAGAACATCATAGTTTAAAAAAAAATTACATAGCACAAGAATTTGATTTTGGTAAATAGTTTACTTATATAAAATGTTTAATTCCACAATTTTTTCTTAGGCTATTTCAGATATATACATCAGATATTTTATAAGATTTTTTTAAATTACATTTTTGTAACTATCATAAAAATATTGAATTATTCTAATTATAATAAGCTTATCAAGAATATAAAAAAAAAACATAAAAAGAACCTATTTTTTTTATTAAATTAGGATTTATATTAAATTAAATTAAAAGTATTATCAATATTATTTTAAATTGAAAAGCTCTTCTCATTGGATTTTTCAGGTGAGATACAATTGAAGTTGTTTGCAGTTTCTTTTTTGGCCAAAAGATGGTGTTTTAGTTTGGTATGTGTATGTGTAGCAACAGGTGTTATGATTTCATCAAAAGCGAGATTTTTCTCATTTTTCATCAACAACCTACTACTAGTAAATAGATTGCAGCAGTCCAACGGCGGAAAAACAAATTTAAATGATACTCACCGACGTAACCACTTGAATACTCCCATATCCTGCAAAGAATCCACTTTTCTTTTACGACTACAACACAATTAATTATAATCTGCAAGTATTTACTGATTAACATATAAACTCTATTTTGTATGTTTAAATTTGTCGACTAAAATGGATGGTATTGCGAAACGGGCATGCGGCACATTACCGGCGCATTACAATCCGGAATAGTTACAAAAAACGGGTAGTAACAATGACCGACGATATATTGTGCGGTCAGACAAAACATCACGAACAACGCGCTGTTCGCAATGAGCCTGAATTTAGTTTTTTGTACAAATTACTTTTCGTTGCGCTCCGTTGATCCACTTCATGCGACTGGTTGAAGTTGGCGGGCGCCGTACCTCGACCGTTCAAGTCTAGGTTGCTTCGGCTCGCCAATGACGCCAACAATGCATGCCCCCTACCGTCTATTTCAAATATGTACTAAGATAATCTATTAAAATACTCTAATTTCTAAGATAATCCCAATACTTTACGTGAAATGTTTTTTTAGCTGCAACTTATTTTTTGTTCTAAATGATATCGCAGAGGTTTGTCTTTGTAATCAAACACAAACTTTCTCATCACGTTAACTTATCTTTGAAGTAAATTAATCTAGCCTCAAAAAATATTCGTTAGAAACTTTAACAGAAAATATCTTCAAGATTTAAATACTTGCATTTTTATTATATTACATTAAATAAATTTTTAATAATAAAATGTTACGTTTTTGATCTGAACCGTCTTCATTAAGTTACTTTACTGATATCACAGAACACTATTACCTACTTCTGGCGAACTGATATGGCGAAAACAATTTTAATAAACATTCACGTTGACATAATCAATCAAGATCCAAGACAGTTAAATAAACACAACAATTTCATTGATTCGTTTTGTAGGATAGGTTTCTTTAGCAACAGTAATGAATGAATAATGTCTTCCGGATATTCCATTCGTTTAAGTTTTCTTTGTGCTTGACATTTTAATATATTTTTGACTCCGTAATAGGTACTGCGAAAGTAAATTAGTGAGGCATTTGCAGACCATAAAAATGTTTCTGCTCAAGTTCAGGCTTTTCAAATACATAATGTCTTGAATTAACATAATTCCACCATTACATATTGTTTTTGCATGTATCTTTCCGTGAAACGAAAAAGAAATAGTCAAATTCAATTTCATTCAAGGGCACTTCCGCTTTAGAAATTATTTTACATACAAGATCCTCTTCCGATAAATTTAAAAACAACTCTTTTTGATTGCCTATAGGCATCAGCTAGAAAATATGAACACGATAGACTCTACGCAAGTATTTTTCAAAACAATTGAGACTGGACCTCATGACTAAAAGCGGCATGCTGCATTTACGTTATGATGTTTAGGATACCACTTATCAATAGGTTGGTCGTGATATCATCTGTCCATCTACAGCAAACATTGTTCGTCGATAGAGGGCGTTGAACAAAATACAATATTTTATCATTCATTTCATCACGTTTTCATTTAAACCGTTTTATGAGTTCGAAATCATTTAAATAATTTATGAAAAATCCTCTTTCCAATAGAAGTCTTGTTGAAATTTCAACTGTACACTCAATTAAGAAAATCAGTTATTTTCATGCGTTAATATTTCCCTGGTAAAAATTATGCGAAGATCGTGTTTAAATTAGCCTGAACAAAGACAGACGGACAGACAGAAAATTGCGTGTTTTATTTTAGTAAAAACAATATGAATTGAAAAAAATCACTATATGTATTTGATTTTTTTTAAATTTCAAAAACATATTTCAATTTAATTTCTTGTATATACATAGATTTAATGCCACCGAATGCCCCAGAAATACAAAAGAAGTATATTGCTGGCATACTAGTAGATAGAAAGATCACAAAAGATGTACGCATGATGTAGGTACACAAAAGATGTTCTATACAGTATTCGTAGTAGCCAACCGTTGAAGCTCACTGTCATTAAGTACAAAATAGAATAACTTATTTACGTCCTTAGATAAATATCAGCTGCTAATAATAATCATGAAAAATTTTCAAGGAAAGAGATCTGGCGAAAGGACTTACAGCTAAAGAACATCTTGGACTGAATTGAAATTGCCAGTACACTTAAAATNACAAAAGATGTTCTATACAGTATTCGTAGTAGCCAACCGTTGAAGCTCACTGTCATTAAGTACAAAATAGAATAACTTATTTACGTCCTTAGATAAATATCAGCTGCTAATAATAATCATGAAAAATTTTCAAGGAAAGAGATCTGGCGAAAGGACTTACAGCTAAAGAACATCTTGGACTGAATTGAAATTGCCAGTACACTTAAAAGTGACTTAAAGTAGTCAACAGCTTCTCTTCTAGATACCTATAAAAATGGAGTTTTATGGAGAATAAAACGTAGTCCAATTAACGGTCAAACTCTAGCAGCGTTACAAGAAGTAAGAGTTTTAAAGAATTTTAAAATTGTTTAGTACCTGAAATCCATTCAACTGTATTTCATTTAATGTTACGCTTCTATTTCATTTTTCGAACATATTATGTACAATTTTTTGTAACACAACAGGCCTTCAAAAAATAGGTATGGCTTCATGGGTGATGCTCCCTTTGAAATATCAATGGACGAATCAAAGAAATTTTTCTTAACTACTGTAGGGATGTCCGAAATGCAATAAAGTATCGATATTTTTTGAAAATATCAATATCGATATTGATATTTTTATTAAAAAATATCGATATATCGGTATGATTTGACAGAGAATATTCGTGCTAATCAATAGACATAATTTTTAATGACATTTTTTGAAACTTTATGAAAATTTATAAAAATTCAATAGTATAATTTTATAAAATTTTGTGAAATTTCATAAAACTTCAGGAAGTTTCATGAAATTTCATGAAGTTTCATCAAATTTCATGAAATTTAAAAAAAAAATCCCGGGAACATATAAATGTTTGTTGATCTGAAAAAAATATCGATTTTCATACCTTTTAGACACTTGGAATTTTATATCGATACATCGATGTATCGAAGTATAAAATATCGCTCAAAAATATCGATACATTACTCTCAGACACAGCCCACTGAGTTTCTCGCCGGATCTTCTCAGTGGGTCGCGTTTCCGATCCGATGGTAGATTCTGCGAAGCACGGCTCTTGCTAGGGTTCGTGTTAGCAACGTCATCAGGTTTGAGCCCCGTGAGCTCACCTACAAACGTTAGGGTTACGCTGAAATAGCCTCTCAAGGCTCTCAGCTTAGGTAGGAAAAAAATATATATATCGATACATTGAAAAAATAATATCGATATTTCGATGTATCGATATTTTTTGTACAAGGCTAACCTACTGTCGGACTGTCGGCTACTGTTATGTTTGACTGTTTTTCAGAGTTTATTTGATTTGTTATTTTGTTAATTGTTATACATGGATGAATTGCGAGGTCCGAATATCCAAATAGTCCTTCATATCAAGGAAGGTAATAACTAGTATTAAAAAACATTACTATTTAAATATTAAATTAAATTTATAATCAAAGTGCGAAATTAATACTATTTCAGGGCTTGGTTTCGGATTTCTGCGAACACCGTTTGTGGTCAGTGGTTCATTAAATGGTTACATATTAGAAACCGATTCGGTTGTTCCATCTCATGCACCGGTTTTCGATGCTGAACTTGTTTGGGAAACCGATAAAAGAAGATTTAGGAGGTAAGATTTCATGTGAAAGAGATATTGAATTACATCTGTAAAATCGTTTGTTTTGCATCGTCATTTTCGTTAGAAATTCCTGTTTAAGAATATGAATAAAATATATGAATATTACTTGCTAATTTTTAGTTTGCGTGTTCAAAATGTTCCTGTGAAGGTTGAGGTGTTTACAACATGCACGCAGGGACGTAAAGACAAAGTTGGATATTTATTGTTGAGTCTCCTTAGTGCTCAACCCTGTCCTTCGAATAAAATTGTTGATGTGAGTTCAGAAATATAATTGGTTATGTTCTTTATTTTTGATTGAGTGCAACACTTAACAATTCCGGACCAACCAATAACGGACTACTAAAAATGAATTATGATTAATTTATAGATTGCATTATTGTGTATTCTACAGTTATGATCAAATTATTTTAAGGTGAAGTACACAATGCATCGACTTCTGGGAGTTAAATCTGAAGGGAAGTGTTGTCATCCACAGCTGTTAATGAGTCTATCTATTGAAGACAGGAACAGTACACCTACACCTGTAAGTCAGCTGCAATGATTGATTATGGAAGTTAGTTGTCTCAATGTGTTTAATTTATGCAAATACCAACAGTGTGCTAGCGCTTGCAAAAATTAGCCATACGTTAGTAAAATTTTCATTCTGATATGTATTTGTAGACAATTAGCAACTATTCAGCACGACGTGAGCTGTAAACTCGTTAATATAATTACTTCTTCTCTTCTTCATTTCTCCCTTACAAATGAAGACTGTGATATGATCCTATTTGTCTTTGTTTTGCTTCTGTTGTCAGTTCAACAGATTATTAATGTTTCTCCTGTTGTCTATGTCTACAATAAATTTACACCATCATGTTGGAATTTGTGCCCTGGAGCTCTTCCCTTCATCTACATCTGTTCCTGATCCACTGTTTCTCCAAGTCATGCATAATTGATTATGTATCATATCAATATGTATAAAAAGGTCTAAAAATAAGAATTGTAATGAAACCTTGGATGTTTTTGTTCCAGAGAAATGAACTCCGCATGTTCCACAGTAATGAGGTTGCCTATCCCTTGTCTTCTCATACCACGGGTATACCAACAGGCAGATCCATTACCTTTGCGTTAAGTATGTATTTTTATGAGTACAAATGATCAATTTCAATGAAATATAGCCTTAAACAGGGTAGGTGTGGTTACAGTGTATCTTTAAAAAATTATAATCTTCCTTGTATTAATTGATAAATCACAAGGTTTCCTATTCACATCTTACTTCCCACCTGTCTCAATCAATGATATCAATTATTATTTATTTATTATTAACATAGAAGTAGAAACACAAGCATAATGTGCATCTGTGCTTGAACTAGGTGATAAAACCTGTATCTCAAGCAGCAGTGCTCCTCGTACAAAGAATACAATAGCTTTACTTCACAGAAACAGAAAGTTAATAGACAAGAAATACACTGAAATTCATGGTTTACATAAAAGTGACAAAATGTAAGCTTAAAAATATAAAAATTAACAAAAAAGTAATATTGAAATGATTGTATTAATGTACCCTCTGTGTGTAATGAGTCTGCGCATGAGTGAGTGTAAGAGGGTGTGTGTGGGTGAAGTCAAAAACATTAAAAGTTATTTAACAAATTTTCAGTGTCCTCATAGTTAAAATTAAGCAACCAATTAAATACAGAAGTTCTGCATTTCTTACTATTTAGGGGATATATATTAAGTTGTTTATTAATTTTATTATAAAGAGTGGGACCCAAGTAGCAAAAGAACCTATGGATAAATTGAGTTTTAAATCGGATGGTTCTACAGACATTATGATTACGTCGCCTCTGTACTAAATTAGGGTTGTAAAAACAAATGGAATGTTGTTTCAAGATTATTTTNGGCAGTCCCAGGTGCGTATGTGCATTTACACTATTTGTTGAATCCTAGACGTACATCGGGGACCTAGGATACCTTGCTGGGCAAGTTCCGTAGCCATCCCCGACCAGGGATCGATTGGTTTGTCCAGACCCAGTGTGTGTGTCGCGACGATAACCGGCTAAAACAAACTACCGAGCCGGGAACTAACGTCTCACATACACCACCTGTCTCAATCAATGATATCAATGCATTAGTTGCAATTGAGATAAGATATCTAATTGTTAATACTATTTACTTATTTTGTTTTTCTAACTGAAATGTGAGGTAGATTAAATTACTATATATATTTTGACTTAGTAAATAAATAAAACTTTTCTTTCATTTTGTCTTCCAGATGAATACATTCTTGAAAGTAAGAAATCAGTTTCATCACCGGACCTTCAACCCAAATTACTATGTGATGAAGGTCTAATACAAATCGGTAAAGGGAGTCAACTGTTTGTACTGAGTTTTGTCATTGGAGTTGTTGAAAATTTAGATTTGGTTAGTATACAAGCTCTGTATTTTTTTATTACCCTTATTGTTAATTTCCCTGGTTTTCATGAATCATGTACAAAATCCATACAAATTTTTAACGCGTGCTTATTTTTTTCCAACATTACAAATACATCTTTCACAATCACAGACAACCTTGTTTATGTTGTTATTGACAGAAGTCAAGCCTGATTGTAAATGGTTAATGTCACTAATGGAAATCAGCAATGCCAGGGCACATTATGAGTATTGGTTGTTTTAAGCCAAGTTATAATACTACTTTGCCTATTATTAAAAACTCAGTTGGCAACACTGACTAATAAGCTAGGGCTATTACTCGCCCTTCATAATGGTGAAACTTTATCCAACAAATATATTTAATTTTCAGTTGTTACCTGAGAGTCCAAATAATGATTCTATGATTGATTGTTACATCATGTATTCAATATTCACACACAACATAATGACAGACAGGTAAATAAGAATTTTTTTAATCGACTTTTTAATTGATTATAGTAGGAGTTATCTTCAATCACATCTTATTGAACGACCGCCAATCGCAATCTAAAAATTCAATTTTAAAGAAAAAAATATTTGTCCGGAGGACGTAAACCTTATTTTTTTCATCAACTGCGAGGGTAATAACGCTTTTCTGTTACGTGACGAACAAGTTAAATCCAAATGTAAACCACATTAAGAAAATACATCGATACGAATAATGTTTTTATTTTTTATTTCTTAATTTGGTGGACGAGCTCATGGCCCACTTGGTGTTAATCGGTTACCGGAGCTCATAGACACCTACAACGCAAATGCCGCCACCCACCTTAAGATTCTAAGGTCTCAGGTATAGTTACAGCGGCTGCCCCACCCTTCAAACCGAAACGCAGTACTGCTTCACGACAGAAATAGGCAGGGTGGTGGTACCTGCCCGCGCGGACTCACAAGAGGTCGTCGTCTTGAAGTCGTCGTGGCCTATCGGATAAGACGTCCAGTGAATTCGTGTTGAGCGATACACGGGTGTTCGAATTTCAGGCGGGTACCAATTTTCTAATGAAATACGTACTCAACAAATGTTCACGATTGATTTCCACTGTGAAGGAATAACATCGTGTAATAAAAATGAAACCTGCAAAATTATAATTTGCGTCATTACTGGTGGTAGGACCACCAGGCGGGCTGTGAGCTCGTCCACCCATCTAAGCAATAAAAAAAAAGTCCTACCACCAGTAATTACGCAAATTATAATTTTCCGGGAATTATTTTTATTAATAATGAATGAAATGTAATAATATTCCATGTTTGTGTCCAGAGTGGCGTCGAGCGGCGAGCGCGGTCCGGTCCGCAGCGCGCCGTTCAACCAGCGCACGTCGCTGCGTCTCGCGGCCGAGCTGTGCGCGCTCGCCCGCTACTTCGCAGAGTGTCCGCATGTGGTGGCACGCGTGTGTCACGGTGACACGGATCTAGGTATGTATATTGTATTTTTTTCTCCTACCTACGCCGAAAGTTCGGTTTTCGTCCCGCTGTACAGGAAAGAAAGTGTAACTTTCTCTCCCTTGTACCCAGTGCGCATGCGCGTTAGTGTCTACGTCTGCTCTCACGCACCTAAAATTCTCCGCCATTGTTGTGCTCGGGTAATTTGCAATACTGTGTGTTAGTGTTACTGTGTATACTGTGTAAAATTTAATACCGAAGTATTAAACAAAGATGAGTTCATCAGACAGTTCTTATTCAATTAGTAGTAGGTTATTTAAAAATTAAAAAGCAGTTCAATTGTTTTTTAAGTTTTTTTATGAGTATGGGGGGGCTCCGCCCCCCCTTCCCCCTGCCAGGGCTACGCCCCTGGTCCACGACTCGGTACTCCACGAACTTTCGGCCTGGTAGGAGAAAAAATAATACGTGCAACGCGGGACAAAAGTAGGACATCTCATCCCACGTGTTTGCCACCCGAGCCGAAGGAAATGTCTGTCTTACTTTTCTCCCTTGGTGCACAATGTACTATTATTAATACGCTTTTGTTAGCTTCAGACGTATGTATGTAACGGAATCTTTGAACATAATTTTGACCCCGATCAAAACGTCGGATTAACTCGAAATTTGGTATACTTATTAAGGACCGATGATAATTCAATAATAAAATAAAAAATTTAAAAAATATATTGAAGAAATTGAAATCCAACTAAAAAATAGAAAATAAATTTTAATAAATTCGAATTAAAAATAGTGTAAGAAAAAATAACTTTATTGTAAAAAAAGCGTGGGGTGCATGGCTAGTTATAAATATTTTATGAACAGATATAAGTAGAATAGCTATTTTGATAATATCCTGAAAAGCATTTGTAAGATGACTATGATTGGGTTCATTAAAATTTAGTGTTCACTATTTTTAAGCTTACTAAAATGAAGAGATTACATTTAATTAATGCATTCCGTTTGTGCTAAGGATGTTGTTAGAGTTAAATTAAAATAAAATGTTCCAGGTATATGCAGTTTGGATCTCCGGAAACTAATTCCGACGGAAGACATCAAGCATTTCATAGACAACTTCTGCAATACCGATAACGCTCTAACTATACAGGAGCGCTGTTATATCTTGCGTTGCGAAGAGACTACTAAACGGAAAGATGACGGAAGGAGACCTTTTGTGGATATCGAAATGAGCTTGAAGTATATGGGCGCTCGCGGCGTTGCGCAGGTACGCGATTTACTAACGTATTTCAGTGTGCTTACTGCGAGTTTTTTAACGTTCTCGATAGAGTAAAAGTTTACTTAAATTTGTATGCAGTCGAAACAGCGCCCCTAATGGCAAACATATGCAAACGTTCCAACTCATACAAATTTAAGTTAACTTTTACGCTATCGAGAACGTTAGAAAATTCGCGCTAGGCACACTGGAATGTGAAAACAACGTCCGAGCTGTTGACACTGTCAGTACACTACCCTTTGATGCCCCATGTGAATGAAATTTATTTATTTATTTATTACATTCTTATTACTTCATGTAAAATTTACATTGACGGGCTTAATGCCTATGGTATTCTCTACCAGTCAACCTAAGGTAGTGCAGAGTAAATAGTAGTAGGTGCAATGAAATTTATATTAATTTATATTATATTAATAATTATACATACACAAAAAAAGTATATATTTACTTATTATAATAGTTTACACAGTATTTAAATATATATTAATAAATTTCCTTAACAAATAACTTCATTTTAATAAGTTCATGACGATTCCGCTAACTTTTCCAATAGCATTCCCTGAACCCTTACTTTGAACGCGCACCGGTTAGTAGTAGTTCTGATCTCGAAAGGAAGCGCATTCCATAGCAGAACAGACCGCACGACGAAAGAGTTACCGAACATAACTAGAACTATGTGTGGGACAACGAATTAATAGGCTATAGAGAGAACCTAGGGCCCGCTCATGGCTGGAGTGAAGATATTGAAATGAAATGTCAATGTGGGATTAGTTCAAAGTAAATAGCAGTTTTTTGGAAAAGTAACAAATTTTATAAAGATAACGATAAGATAACGTCGTAATCGTTCACACTCCTACTATGCCCGATCGCCATCTTGACCATCTCCCCTCAGTCCCTTTCTTCCTCATACATTCATCTCTTTCACTCGAAACGTTCCGTTTCCCACATTCATGTTATCAAACTTATGATGAACTAGCCGTACTCGCCCGTCCGCTGGGCATTTAAAATTAACATTATTATTAAGAAGTCCAAAACTCATAGAAATATTAGCCTATCCATTAAGTACATGTATTTTCTACATGGATATCAGGTTTCAAGTCAATCGGATGCATGGTTCAGTAGTTATAACGAAATATCTGTAAAAACGACTGTAGATTTAGATATTAGTGTAGATTTCTTATACGTTTTAGAGATCTACGTTGCTGAGTGCCCGCAGTGCTACTGAGCTGCAGAGCGCGGCGGCGGGGGGGAGCCCGCGGCGGCGCGTCGGCAGCTGCACGAGCCTGCACGCCCACACCGCAGGGTACTGATATACAATTCGTCCAGAACTTTGTTAACGCTAATCATACCAACACTTACTGCTACTTATTTTTACTATAACGGGTACATAAGGGTATACGACAAGTATTGCTCAAAATAAACAAAACAAAACAAAAAACAATTGTTTAATAACTGTAGATTGATTGGTAAGCAAAAGTCATTAAGTTAAATGTGCAAAAGCAATAAGATGATACGTGCATTTTCAATGCAAAAGTTCAAAATGGGCCATTTGACCCGTTATGGTATGCTTAGTGTTAATGCTCAGACCAACTTTTTTACTGGTGGTAGGATTTCTTGTGAGTCCGCACGCGTAGGTAGTCGTCTTGGCCTAACGGATAAGAGGTCCGGTGCATTCGTGTTGAGCGATGCACGGGTGTTCGAATCTCAGGCGGGTACCAATTTTTCTAATGAAATACGTACTTAACAAAAATTCACGATTGACTTCCATGGTGAAGGAATACCATCGTGTAATAAAAATCAAATCCGCAAAATTAAAATTGCGTAGTTACTGGTGGTTGGACCTCTTGTGGGTCCGCGCGGGTAGGTACCACCACCCCGCCTATTTCCGCCGTGAAGCAGTAATGCGTTTCGGTTTGAAGGGTGGGGCAGCCGCTGTAACTATACTTAAGACCTTTGAATTTATATCTCAAGGTGAGTGGTGCATTTACGTTGTAGATGTCTATGGGCTCCGGTATATAAAGAATGAGATTTTTTTTTTAAATATAATTAGATTTGAATTAAGTTCTTTTACCTTAAGTGAATTATTTGTCCATGAATTTAGATACAATAACGCATCGGGCGACGCACACAAACAAACGAACGAAATAGCGGAATTAATAAAGAACATGTGCAATTCATTCGCTCTAAGTCAAGAGAGAATACTCGCTGCCAGACTGAAACCCTCCACCAGCGATGCGGAGGTGCAGTGCGAGGGGGGGAATGTGGGAGACGATGATGGGAGGGGAGAGGGGGGAGACTGGGAGCCTGTGAAGCTGGACGGACGTCAAGCCGAGAGGTAGGGACAACTGTCTGCTTAGTGCGAGTTTCTTAACGCTCTCGATAGCGTAAAAGTTAACCCAATTTTGTATGCAGTTGGAACAGCGCCCCTAGCGGCAAACGTACGCAAACGATCCCATTCCATACAAATATGAGCTAACTTTTACGCTATCGAGAACGTTAAAAAACTCGCACTTAGCACGCTGGAGTCATTCGTGTTCTAGTCTGTGAGTTCTGAAGTGAAGACGATTATTATTACTAAGTTACGTACATTGTCGATGTCTATGGGCAGTAAACGGGGCGGTAAACGCTTAACACCAGGTGGACTGTGACCTTGTCCAACTGTCTAAAAAAACCGCACTAAGACAAGTGGCGCAGAGCAAGTCCCTAACAGCCGCAGCGTAATGTTTTTTACTGATGGTAGGGCGTTTTTTGGGCCAGCACGGGTAGGTCCCACCGCCCTGCCTATTGCCGCCGCGAAGCGGTAATGCGTTCCGGCTTGTACTGTAGCTACAATGGGGGCCTCAGCCCTCAAAGATTTGAACTCATGTTGCAAGTTGGGTGGCGGCATTTCCGTTTTTGTTGTCTATCGGCAGCGGTAACCCCTCAATACTAAAAGTGGGTCGTCTAGAAGTCTCAAAGGTTTTTCTTACCTAACCGGACGAGTAGGTGAGCTCACGGGGCTCAAACCTGACATTGTTGCTAACACGAACCCTAGCAAGAGCCGTGCTTGGCAAAATCTACCACCGGATCGGAAACGCGACTCACTGAAAAAATCCGGCGAGAAACTCAGTGGGCTGTGTCTGTGGGTTAATTTACTCGTCAAGCTCTTCGTCGCAGGCGACGGGTTCGACGAGAACGATGACCGGTCTCAACGGTGTTGTTCATTCCTATCCTTTGAATGTGGGCTGACAGCTTCACGGTCTAGCTCATGAGGATGCATGTACTTACTGTCCGTATTAGGGCGAGAGTCATAAAACTCATGCCTAATAGGGATAGAACTGCGTAGGGACGCACCGTGGTAGGGGGATCGACCTCCTATAGTGTGGGATACGGATAACAAGAAGTACAGACGAGATTTACCGTTGACGGCGTCTCATTCCTAATCGTTAACGATGTATCCGCCTTGTTCCCAGGGAGCCCGTCGTTTTGGAGACGAGCAAAAGCGACACGTGCATCACAAGTCCTAAACGGGCCGCCCGTAAAGACAATCACACGGGTGAGAAAAAAATTCAATTAAATTCAAGCATTAGAATATGTAATTACGAAATCAGTGTACTTGTATACAGTATAGTGAGTCACCGCCGTCCTACCCGTACCTGCTCCGGAGCAGTGGTACACTATACTTGGGCCATTACATCCGTGGGGTCGTCGCGTCCCCTTACGAGGGCGCGGAACGGGCCACAGCGAAATCCCTCTGCCCGGGCTTGGGACTCCCTGCCTTTTTTTTATTGCTTAGATGAGTAGACGAGTTTGAGCACCAAGTGGCATGCTGTGGGGACGAATACCTCGTTCTCTTTTTTCTTCCCTCTGAATCTCCATAATTTTTTTTCTTTGCTTGACAAGACGTGACAAGACCAGTGCTTGAGTAATAATTGAACTTAGAAATAAAATATGAAATTGTAAGGATGTTTTTTTTATAAAACAGATTTGGTGAAAATGGCGCTATCGGAAGCCGACCGCGACAGCATCATGCGGAGGTTCGTGGACGAGCTGGAAGACTGGAAGGAGAAGCAGCAGGAGCTGCACAAACTGCAGGCAAGTAGTGTTGGAGACCGGGCCTGTGCGCACCGCGGGACTATAAGGGCGTTCGAAGATATCTTTGGAACTCAACAACACAGTTTCATTGTCAGTTTTGATTAGAAAGCAGTAGTAAAAAAAACGTTGCGCGTGCAACTTGGTGCACGTGAATGAAGTGAAACTTCTTTTTCGATCTGTAGTATTGTGGTCTTCTTCATTTTTCATCCTTAAATCAAATTGCTCTTGTCATAGGGAATGATGTGCTTCATTATTTATATTACAATATATAATTTAAATTATAGATAGAAAAATAAATAAATATATTTTTTAAGTTCTTCATTAAATTTTTGGACGCTACTCGTTGTTAACGCTCGCGCTGGCCTGTAACAGGTATACTACGCGCGTGCGGTCGAGTGCCACGCGTTCACTCTCGCTCTGTCTCTTTCTATTTCAAGGTAGCGTTAAACGTTTACCGCTACCTTGTTGGAAGTCGCGTTAGAAGTTTCACTTCAAAAAAAAGCTCCTGATCTCGAAAAATAATATATCATTACCGAAATGACTTCCACGGCCATTCCTATGAACATATTTATAACGTAGTACAGCTAGGTTGTAGCAGGATTTATTCTATTATAAATGAATTCACTATATGCAATCCAAAAGTCTATATTTTTGAATTACATAATGTTAAGGAGCTATTTAAACCCCTATTTTGAAACATTATTTATTGGTGCTCCACTTGTATTGGTCTTACCGTGATGTTATATAGCCTTATAGCCTTCCTCAATAAATCGGCTATCTAACACTGAAATAATTTTTCAAATCGGACCTGAGTTTAGCGCTTTCAAACAAACAAACTTCAGCTTTATAATATTAGTATAGTCAAATTCGATATTATAATTGGCCATACTGTTCTCCTTTACCAGTTGAAGCGCAAAGAAGAGTACCATTTAGAGCTATTGGCCAAGGAGTGGGCCAAGCAGCGCGTGGAGCTGGAGTGCCGGCTGGCGAGGGGCATCCAGCAGTGCCGCGCCCTCGCCGCCGACCTCGCCGCCGCCACCGACGACTTCAGGGCGAGGGGACACAGGAACTCCGAGAGGGAGAAGAAGGTACCTCACATAGCAGACAACAATTTATTTTTTATTGCTTAGATGGGTTGACGAGCTCACAACCCACGTGGTGTTAAGTGGTTACTGGAGCCCATAGACATCTACAACGAAAGCGCCGCCACCCACCTTGAGATATAAGTTCTAAGGTCTCAAGTATAGTTATAACGGCTACTCCACCCTTCAAACCGAAACGTATTGCTGCTTCACGGTAGAAATAAGCAGGGCGGTGGTACCTACCCGTGCGGACTCATAAGAGGTCCTACCATCAGTAATTACGCAAATTATAAGTTTGCGGGTTTGATTTTTATTACACGATGTTATTCTTTCACCGTGGAAGTTAATCGTGAATATTTCTTGAGTACGTATTTCATTAGAAAAATTGGTACCCGCCTGAGATTCGAACACCGGTGCATCGCTCAACACGAATGCACCGGACGTCTTATCCGTTAGGCCACGACGACTTATAAACTATCTCACTCACTCAGCTCACTAAGTGAAACAAATAAAATCAGAAATAGCCACAAAGTCTAAATGAATGACGGAGTTGTATCAAATTTTGATTAAAATGAGATAAACATTTACGTGGAACGATTTGGAGATGACTTCTTTGAAAAATTAATGTCATTTCGTGTCCTCCCGATCCAATCTCGACTATTCAAAAGTTTGCATGTAGTTAATAATGATATTGTTACGCGCTGGGGTTCGGGATAAACAAAATTTCACCAAAGTACAACTTAAAAACTGTATTCAACACTTAAAACACTTAAACACTTTAAAACTCTCCATTTTGCTTGTTCCGCTTCGCTTCAGGTGATCCGTTCGCTGTTTCGCTTCGAGTTGTTCCGATTACTGACTGCTGCGTGCCATCTCTACAACGCTTTTATAGCCGATACCTCATCCCTAGAATTATCGAGAATATTCCACACCTCTCTAGTAGCAGTTTCCGCTATCTGACAATAAATGACGTTGTAATTCTCGGGCATTCTGGGCGCTACTAGATCCTTCGATATTCGTTCGACTATTCAGCGATAGATGGCGTTACTCTTTACCGGCGTAACAATATCTTGTTACGATTCATTTGTATAATTTAAAATACTACTAAAGTTTTTGAATCGCTATTTAATCCAGCATAAATTAATTGCTACAGGTTATTTTAGTCAACCAAACTGTTTTGAAAAACCATAATTATTAATTTCAGTTATTGGAAGCGAAGAAAGCTTTAGAAGCGCATTACACAGCCAAGTACCAGGAGCTGAGAGAAGCCTCATTAAAAATGGAGGACGACATGAATCATCAGCTGAAAGTCAAGGACATGAGGATCGAGGCGCTGGAGCTTAAAATAATGCAGCTCGAGAAACAGGTGGACGTTTTGAAGGTAAGCCTGAACGAATTACTCATTCAAAGTATTTATTGTTGGTGGTAGGACCCCTTGAGAGTCTGCACGGGTAGGTACCACCACCCTGCCTATTTCTGCCGTGAAGCAGTAATGCGTTTCGGTTTGAAGGGTGGGGCAGCCGCTGTAACTATACCTGAGACCTTAGAACTTATGTCTCAAGGTGGGTGGCGCATTTAAGTTGTAGATGTCTATGGGCTCCAGTAACCACTTAACACCAGGTGGACTGTGAGCTCGTTCACCCATATAAACAATAAAAAAAAAATTAAATAAAAAAACAAAACAGAAATAATCGAACCATAAAATATAATAAAAAAAAAGAAAACTACGATTTTTACATTACTTTAGAATTAGCTAACAATAAATAATTTTCATATCATTTAATAATTGAATTAGCTTAATAGAATTGATAATATTTGCTGCCTTCATAAGATAACAGTGCGATATTTGAACGATATCTTATTTTCAGAATACCATGAAGGACATTGAGAAAGAAGCCGAAACCCGATATTCTGGTCTAACTAAAGATCAAACTGCGAGTCTCATACAAGAATTGGTGAGAATCTTAGTTTTATAATGACAACTCTAACTCACACAAAGACCTACTTCTGTATCCAGACGCCAACATATGGATTGTTTTTGTTGAAGCTGAAACAATCACAGTAATAAAACGGTGCGCGTGCAACTTGGTGCACGTGAATGAAGTGAAACTTCTTTTTCGATGTGTAGTATTGTGGTTTTCCTCATTTTTCATCCTTAAATCAGATTGCTCTTGTAATAGGGAATGATGTGTATAAGAGATGCGACACCGTCAACATTTATGTTATATATATTTTAAATTATAGATGGAAAAATTACTTTAAATACTTGATTAAAATATTTGGACGCTACTCGTTGCTACCGCTCGCGCTGCCTGTAACAGGTATTCTACGCGCATGCGTTCGAGTGCCGCGCATTCACTCTCGCTCTGTCTCTTTCTAGTACGGTAGCGTTAAACGTTTAACGCAACCTTGTTAGAAGTCGCATTAGAAGTTTCACTTCTATAACAGAAGCATCAACACTTATATGTAAGGAAGCTTAACAGAAGTCACAGTTGCGTTTCGAATGTTTATAGGTTTAAAATAGTATTATAGACTATTTATATAGTTAAAATTAATTTATTAATACACAGTTTTTATGACAGAGGTGTTTAGAAGAAAAACTAGATAGTGCAGTCCAATCGAAAGCGTTCTTCAAAGAGCAGTGGGGCCGAGCTGTCAGGGAACTGCACCTGCTGAAGCTGGACACCAGGAAGCAGATGTTGTCGCAGCTGCAGCAGGACAGGAGGGAGCTGGGTGATGCTGGGTACGGTGGGCAGTTGACGCTTCTCATATTGGGACATCGGAAACTATTAATACACACATATATTTTTTATTGCTTAGATGGGTGGACGAGCTCACAGCCCACCTGGTGTTAAGTGGTTAATGGAGCCCATAGACATTTACAACGTAAATACGCCACCCACCTTGAGATATGAGTTCTAAGGTCTCAAGTATAGTTACAACGACTGCCCTACTCTTCAAACCAAAACGCGTTGCTGCTTCACGGCAGAAATAGGCGGGGTGATGGTACCCACCCGCGCGGACTCACAAGAGGTCCTACCACCAGTAATAATTTTATAAGAATAGTACATATTACTATATTAACTTTTTATACCAGGGTACGGAAACAAAAAATGCACTAAGTTTTATTTATATGAATTTCTTCTTCTTTTTCTTCACCTTATCCCACTGGGTGGGGTCGGCACAGCTAATTTTTCTCTTCCATTCTCTTCTATCAGCCGTCATCTCAACACTCACTCCTCTCTTTATCATATCGTCATTCACACACTCCATCCATGTCTTCTTCGGTGGAACTCTTCTCCCTCTACCTTGCACTACGATTTCTATACATCTCCTAGTCACATGCATCTCCTCTCGACGCATCACATGTCCATATTTAGGGATATAAAAACCTTGCTTTTATTTAGCATACTCTTTCGTTTGACCATAGAGTAATGCTGATATGGTAGGGTTTCAAAAATAAATCAGTAAAATTGATCTGTGAAATCATACACAAACAGCTTAATAACACATGGAACGGGAACTCGTCCGCCCATCTGTATTTTATAGGGTCTGTTACACATTGCTAATGTTTTCACCGCATTTCTGGTCTTTTTATTAGCCCTTTTTATTTCAATTTCAGCTTAGACACAATAAAAGATGACAGCGAAAGTAAACGCAATCAAGATGCGATGGACATTAAAAAATTGAAAGACGATTTTTATGTTGACATTTTAGCGAACACACCGGCACTGGAAATCGATTCGTTCATCAGTGAGTTGCTTTGCGTTGTAAAAATTATCGTTAGATGTAAAGATATCCGTTAAGTTATATTTAAATCTAGCTGACCCGGCAGACTTCGTAGTGCCTCACTCTATAAATAAAAGACCTAAACTTTTGTATAAAATAAACTTAAAACAAACAAAAGGAACCCGTCCGACGGGGGACACATCAAAGGAAAAACAAAATTGTTATTTTTATTTAATTCCGAGCATTTTCATATTTATCTACCTTTTAAACCTTCCCTCGACTTCCAAAAATAATTCCAGACCAAAATTAGCCAAATCGGTCCAGCCGTTCTGGAGTTTTAGCGAGACTAACGAACAGCAATTCATTTTTATATATATAGATATATGTATATTAGATTTTTTGTTTGTTAAAATTGCCTTACCCAAAGATATGTTTATTTTGTTGTTGGAAAATGTAAGGCGTTGATTTTCATTATTCAAATAATATGTTTCTTCCCAGAAGCATTATTATGTGTAACTAGCGACCCGCCCTCGCTTCGCTTCGGAAACATTAAAACACACATGAAACCAAAAAAATAAAATGAAAAAAAAATAAAAAAAAGTAGCCTATGTTCATCAGGGACAATGTCGGCTTCTAATGGAAAAAGAATTTTTCAAATCGGTCTAGTAGTTTCGGAGCCTATTCGAAACAAACAAACAAACAAACAAATCTTTCCTCTTTATAATATTAGTATAGATCAATAAAGTGTTATTCATAATGAGTCATCCGAGTATAAAAGCCTCTCGCTTACAAGAAGAATGTCAGAGAGTGTTATTCATAAAACATACTCTAACAGTTTTCATATAGCTAGCTTATAAAGTTGTCATAATTCCTTATTAAAAATATCATAATTATAAATTGTAATAAATGATTTGTGTTCCAGCCACATCTGGTTCGGGTGTTGTAGAAATGTTTGACGATTTAAGGTAATATTTCTGCTTGAATATTTTTGCTTTTATGCTTTCGAGAACATAAAAAAACTCGCACTAGGCACACACAAGTGATGGTTTCATAGGTACTTCGTACAGTCGTGTATTCACAGTTTTGTTTTTATTATAAGAAAATAAAAAGTAACAATGAAAAAATTAAATACGCATGTTTTCATTTAAAAAAAAAATTGAAAATAGTGGCTGTAACATACATACAAGAGGCACACAAAAAACAAAACGTCTTTGTTAAATCAAATACTGTCCGAGCTGTTGTGCATAGCAGTGACAATCGCAATACACTGAAATCACGTTAAACGATCATTCGAGTGTAAAATAAATAAACTTTATTTTTTATTTTTGGTAGGACCTCTTGTGAGTCCGCGCGGGTAGGTACCACCATCCCGCCTATTTCCGCCGTGAAGCAGTAATGCGTTTCGGTTTGAAGGGTGGGGTAGCCGTTGTAACTATACTGAGACCTTAGAACTTATCTCAAGGTGGGTGGCGCATTTACGTTGTAGATGTCTATGGGCTCCAGTAACCACTTAACACCAGGTGGGCTGTGAGCTCGTCCACCCATCTAAGCAATAAATAAAAAAAAAATTATTTCCAGAAGCGTCGTTAAGAACCCGATAAATGATAAACTAAACAAATTGATATCACAACGCGATCGGCTCATACAGGACGAGAATCCGAATGAAGAACTTCTGAAGCAATTGAACCAGGAAATTAGAAGTATCCTATTAAACTGTGGCTCCTGACTATTTTGAAACATCAGATATTAATAAAAAAAATTATTATTGCCAACCAAAAAAAAATTTATATTTATATAAAAACTATTGAAAGACTGATGAATTTCTATAAATTTAAATAAATCTTCCATCATGACAAAAAATTTTGAAGCCGTCCATGATAACTTAGACATAATTTTTATTAGATTAATTATTATATTTGTTGTATATTTGATTAATTATTGTGATATTGATTAAATTAAAATATGAGATAAATAAGTTGACTATTAATGTGTTTTTTGGAGCAAGTTTAGCTGGTGATCAGTAATTATTTAAATTTACCGTTAAACATGAAATTAAAAAAATGCCTAAATATCAAGATCGATATTTTTTTCTCTAAATGAAATACTAATTAAACCTTAGTGTTGTCTAGTTTTTTTTGGAAGGCTATGCGTCATGATAATCGCCTTATAGTTGCCGCCGCTGATTGCTCCCCAAATCCTGCCCACGCAGGAGTCAGTCGCTGTTGACGACCTAGACGCGTCCTTGCGGATCCTTCACTTTGAAAAGGCGGCACGACATGAGAACCCTCTTGCCGTGCCCGCTGGAAACTACATACCCAATCCTGTAGACCGAATGGTAAACAGTCGACGTCGCCACAAAATACGTCATTACGGATCCTCCCGATCCATTAACGGTGCTTTTAGGTACCACAAGCACCGGTCGCCGTCCTTGTCGAACCCGTTGCTTTCGACGAAGGGCTCGACGAGCGAATTAACCCATAGACAGCCCACTGAGTTTCTCGCCGGATCTTCTCAGTGGGTCGCGTTTCCGATCCGGTGGTAGATTCTGCGCAGCACTGCTCTTGCTAGGGTCAGTGTTAGCATCACTCTGGTTTGAGCCCCGTGAGCTCACCTACTAGTTAAGGTTACGCTGAAATAGTCTCTCAAGGCTATCAGCTTAGGATATAAAAAAAAACCGGTCCACCAGACACAATAACTCTTGTATTAGAAACACTAGGAGCAGACTTAAGGGACCCCGGTAACCGTACTTGTTGAACTCGGTAAAGAGTCCCACGTGCAACTAAACCCATGCTCGTTGTTTTACAATATATTCAAATCAAATTTATTTTAAATTAAAGCCACAAAGTTTTATCAAAATTCAATTGCAAATCAAAACCATTTTCTGAGGGTTACATTAGCAATATTCTTACGCGTATGCCGTGTTTAAATTAAGTTAACCTATTAAGTTTCCCTATTAAGTTAACCTCTGGTGATACGTTGCTTATTTATTTAAGCTAGTAATAATAAGCTTTTTTAAATCAAATTTACCCGCTGATTATTGACACCGAAAGCACATTATTGGGTGGGCTAACCAAAAACCAAAATCATCCAAAGGAATCTTTTAATCTTGGAATGCCTCGCCGTAACCACAGGTTACTATGGGATACTGCATTTTGTTATACGAAAATGCAAACAATGAATTAAGAAAAAATGTGTGTTTTATTAATTAAGTAGTTATTTGTGCCATAAGAAACTTTACTCTCGTGTAGCACACATAACTTTTCACCTCAGCAGTGAGAAAGTGAGAACACATAACTTAGGAGACATAGATGAACAGGAAAAGATTGAAATAACTAATAAATTCCAAAATCTAATTTCGAAGGAGTTTGTTTTTTTCACTCGCTTTTTTATATGCATGTGAAAGAGATAGAGCACAGTAAACTTCGAATGTTTCAAATTAATGGCTGACAATGTCAGTTCGTGGCACTGAAGATTGAAAACTTAAAAAGCTACTTTGATCCAAGCTCGAATCAAAATCGCGTTTTGTTCACTGTTGTCTCACAGCAAAAGCTGCATATTTGAGCTGCTGAGGTGAAAAGGTATTTTAACGGTCTATTTTGATACATATGGTCCATTCCATTTAAAGTTTTTTTTTGTGATTATAGGTTATAAGGATAAGATAAGGATATAAGGCTATTCCATTCAACCAAAAAATATTTTGTTTTGTAAACAAAAGTAGCTCATTTAAATATCGGTTTTACAATACATGTTTGTTCACTTTTTAGAGTAGTCTGTTAGGCTTTTCTTTTAAACGCGAGATACGTTGCACTATAAGTACCATTACTGTCAACAATGTTAAATGTCTACCTTGCTTGCACTACTCTGTGCCATTGTGATATTGCTATTTGTCGTATGTACATTACATACCCATTTATTAACTAAAACAGATTGGTTTTAATAAATGAAACCATTTTGTATGTAGTCATTTGCTATAAAACATTTTACTCGAAGAACTGTAAACACTCAAAAGTTAACAATTCATGTGAACATGGCAAAAACAAAGGTGACAGGAGCCACTAGCAGATTGAAGCAGGATTATTTGAGGCTCAAGAATGACCCAGTACCATATGTTACGGCCGAACCTGTGCCGTCCAACATACTGGAATGGCATTACGTCGTTAAAGGGCCGGAGAAAAGTCCCTACGAAGGGGGATATTATCATGGAAAGATTATTTTCCCAAGGGAATTTCCGTTCAAACCACCTTCGATTTACATGATAACACCGAATGGCAGGTTCAAGACAAACACACGATTGTGCCTCAGTATTACAGACTTTCATCCGGACACTTGGAACCCTGCTTGGTCTATTTCTACGATCCTTACAGGTCTGTTGAGTTTTATGTTGGAGAAGACTCCTACATTGGGGTCCATTGAAACTTCAGAATACCAAAAGCGATGTTTGGCTGCAGAATCTCTAGAGATAAACATAAAAAATAAAATGTTTTGTGAATTGTTCCCTGAATATGTAGAGGAGATTGAACAGCAATTAAAACAACGACAAGAGGCAATGTTGTTGAATCAAGACAGTGGTGCAAATGAAGTAACCTCTGAGCCACAGTCTAGTATGAATTGTATTTTGACAAATCTGTTTGTTCTTGTAGCTTTTGTATGCCTTACTTACATGGTCAAACATGTTTTAGGATCATATGAATAGTCTTAAATTTATCTTATTGAGCAAAAGAAACAAAATTCACATCTGCCGGCTGGTCTTTTGTTTTTTAAATGTTTATAACTACATTTATTTGCTCTACAAATGCAATGTACATATTGTAATTTATTTTGTAAATAATTGTTATTCAATCTTGAAATAAACCCATGTTTGACCTTTAATAAAACTTCATTTTATGAGGTAACAATGTATAGAGTTTAACATGCATTGCATGAGGAATGTCTACTGAGGTTTTGCTACTTTTACCGTGTCATTTATTTTTAAATGTATTCAACAACAAGCCTTTATTTGAAGACCGAAAAAGCTGTTAAAAATAAACATTGAAACAAATTTATATGAATCTTGAAAAGCTGACTATAGACAGAAATACCTATGGTGATTAATAACTAGGTATACTACTATATAACTAATTTATTGAATTGAAGAAATTGTTACGTGAGTAAATTAAATTTTATGATTTTATTTAATTTTTTCAATTATTTCCTAAGAAACTAAATTTCAATGTAAAAATATATATGGTGAAATCTAGTAAATTTTTGTAAGCAGGATTTTTAATAAAGGTTTTTTTTAACAAATCTTAGTAGTGTTCAACAAAATATTTAGGCATTTTCAGTATTGTATACAGTATGCATTAAATATGATTTTCTATAGTAAAAAATGATGAACCATGGACCTTTTAATGCTAAAGTACACAATAATAAAGCAATACAAGGTTTAAGACTTGAATGAATATATGTCAAATCACCATAATTTGAGCAAGATATGTTTTGTTATGTATCATCATACTATTTAGATTTGACCCTAAAATGTGAGCTATTAAAACTCAATTTATAAAAAAAATGTCCTTACCTGAGATTGCACATCAGAAAAATTTGTATTTACGGAATTCACATTCAAATGCATGCTTAATTTCTTTATACTGTTCAAAACGTTTTTATGCTAAGTATATGTTACACCTATGTAATTATTGTGATTTTATGTGATGAATCTTCGTGAATTAATATAGTGGTTTGTCATTATTAGTAAATGCTAGCCCATTTGCCTTTTGTAGTCCAACATTTAATGTTAATATCACATAGATTAATTTAGTCTTCACTGAGATAAATTATATATATAAAGATATGTTGGTACATTTTATGATTTCTGGAATATTATTTATATCACTTGTAATGAGCCTTGTCGTCGTTTACGAATTTCGACCATAAATCTAATAAATTTGTACGGAAAATACTCTTTCATTTTATCTACCTTTAGGTTTGTCTAAACTTTATACGAAATGGGTTTTGAGCTCACCAGCATTAACATAGAAGTTGGAAAGCATGTATTATAGTTTTTAGAACATGCATAACTATTGTTGAACTATTGAGATGAAGAAATGTTGGAAAGGATGTTGACAAAGGTTCATATTATTTTATTCTATTCATCTGCAACATTTTTCTTTATTATGACGAAATTTACTCACAGCCCAGAAATATTACTAAGACACTTTTATATGCAGACGTGCATACGGCCCACGTGATGGTGGTGGTTACCGTCGCTCATGGACGTCAGTGATGCCAAAGGTACAGCCAAGTCTGCCCATGCTGAGGATTCTCCTCAAAGCGCGTTACAATTTTTTACTTTCAGTTTCAACTTAGCATATGTACAATTTCTATTTTGTGATAAATGTCCATTTCCTATTCCACGGGAAACAGACTCTTACACATATGTATAAAATATATACTTATTAAATACCCAGATAAGTCGATGTGGCCCAGAATGATAAGTCGCCCGATACATTCGTACTGCGACTGTAACCATGTTCGAATCCCGCAGGCAAGTACCACAAGACAAGTAGGTACATATGTATATTATTTGATACTTAATTAATTTTTATTTTTATTTGGTTTATATACTATATACTTATATATATTATGGCACACATAACAAGGCCGATGTTAGAATACATTAATTGAATAAAACGGTCCGATTATGATGGTCAGGATCTTCAGGACTAGGCAAAGGGTTTTCTTAATCACACCCATGATTTGCAATAAGCAATAAATGTAAATTGTCCCTTCGTAATAATATTACGAAGACAATTTACTTCGCTTAATACTAATAAGGTGACACTCACTGAAGTACTATATAGGTCTATGGTGACACTACAAAACTTACGTACGCCCGGTCATGACTTATGCAAGTGTAGTGTCGCCGCTCGCACTAATTTGAAATTTTGAAACCTCTTCAAGTCATTCAATCCCGTTTTTGCAAAATAGCCGTCGGAGTACCATGGTCTTTGAAGAATGTGGATGTCCATGATGGTCTGGAACTTGACTCGATCAGTAAGTATTATATACAGTCGGCATCATTGCGCCACTTTAAGAAGGCGGTACGACACGAAAACCCTCGTGGTCGATGGAAATTACATACCGTGGATCGAACGCTAAATCGTCCTAAACACATCATTACGAAAGGGCTCGGCGATTAAATTAATCCATAGACACACCCACTGAGTTTCTCGCCGGATCTTCTCAGTGGGTTGCTTTTCCGATCTGGTGGTAGATTATGCGAAGCACTGCTTTTGCTAGGGCCAATGTTCTAGGCCAGTGGCCAGCAACATCTCCGGTTTGAGCCCCGAGAGATCACCTACATGCTAGGGTAAAGCTGATATAGCCTATCAAGGCTATCAGCATAGGTAGGGAAAAAAAAACATTTTTTTACTATTTTCTATTTTTGAGTACAGCTAGCTACAAAAGTGTATTTTGGTTACTGTTATTTATTATAAATAAAATGTACTACGCTGAGTATTAGCTTTACAGCGACACTTAATGGAACTTTGAGCTCATGTCAATCGACAACAACGAAGGGCCTCATTCATGTTGATCTGTATAGGATTTGGTAACTACAGTACACAAGATTTACCTTCAGAATGTTCACCCATCTTAGCGCTAAAAAAATAGATGGCTACAATACTCGTTGTCGCAGTAAGAATCGTTGAAAATTCAAGAGTAAACTGATAAAATAATAATTATTACATATAGGTACGTTTTATTTGTTTTCTTATTTAGATATTGTTTGGTCTAGTAGTTGGAGGTTACTCTACAGCAGAGCGAGCTAGATGTTCGGTCGGAGTCCATATTTAGTTAAAACTATTTTACCTATATATTTTTTTTGCTTTTCCTACCTAAGCTGATAGCCGTGAGAGGCTATTTCAGCGTAACCTGAACTAGTAGGTGAGCTCACGGGACTCAAACCTGACGACGTTGCTAACACGAACCCAAGCAAGAGCCGTGCTTCGCAAAATCTACCACCGGATCGGAAACGCGATCCACTGAGAAACTTAGTGGGTTAATTTACTCGTCGCAAGCGACGGGTTCGACGTGAACGATGACTGGTGCTTGAGGTAAAAGCACCGTTAGTGGATCGGGAGGATTCGAAATGACGTGTTTTGGGCTACGTCGATTTTATATAAATTAAAGGTCATTGGGTAGTGTTTCTTGCCTCACATGTGCGTTTGAAATAACCATAACACAGAATTAAATTCTTATTTGGGGCCACACAATGGAATTTGCTTTATTCATTTTTGAAGTGACACTTCTTTAGGCTTCGAGAGTAAAATTTAACTCGCGTCGGATTAGTTACAGCTAGAGAGAAAATATATAATTTAGGAAGAGCGAGAGTGAGAAAATAGACAGAGCGTCTTTCAAACCACTCGACATTGGAGAGTGGAAAAGGACAAAGCGACTTAGGTCGTTTCTTTTAAACACTGCATTCCCCATTACAAGAGAAATTTCATTTAAGAATGAAAAAATGGTGAAAACCACAATAATACACACCGCAAAGAAGTTTCACTTCTTTCCCGTGCACGAAGTTGCACGCGCACCACTTTTTATCACAATAATTAACCACATTTTTTATTTTAAATTTTATTTGCATATAAACTTAATTACATAGATCTTTAATTTTACTATAAAGCAAATACTCTATATTATAGACCGGTTATGTAATATTGCTTTTAGTTACCTTCATAGTTAGCTTTTATATTTATAACTTGACAGATCATGATGAAGGACTTATACACATTTTTAATCACAATGGTTTCGTTTCATGGTCCTCTTATACAGATAAATACAATTGTGTAAAAGTTAGAATTCTTTAGTCTAATTTACAATCACCAAGCTTAATCTAATATACATATTTTAAAAAATAAAAATCAGCTAGAACTAGTTATTTGAATGCACTATATACCAAACTGGAGCTATTTTTACAATAGAATTAAATCTTAAATGCAAGACAACCATTGGAAAAAGAATACAAAAAATATCATTGCAATGTTTAATTTTTTTTAAACAGCATACTAGGTTCAGAAAAAGATTCAGCCAGTAGCAATATGGTTACCATATAATTTTAGGTATTACTTAATTATTTAGTGCATGATTTTTTAGTACTTATTTCAAACTAATTACTATTATTTAACTAATCATAATATTAATACTTTAAGAATAACATTGATGGGACTTGATTTGATAAAAAGTGAAATATATTTTCTTGTATAACAAATATCTCATTATTTATTCTATAATTTAAGCATTATACTACATAGTACATATTTTATGTATGAACTCAGCCCCAAAGTTCGATGCTAAGTATTAATTGATTTTACTTTCCTCATCGTCATCATCCCAATCACTGACTAAGCTTTTTATTTTGTCATCTGGTTTATCGGTTTCATTATCTGGTGCAGGATCATGTGAAGCTTTTTTCTCAGCTGTTTCTAAAAGTCCACTATTTGGTTCATCTAGAATAACTTTTTCTGTACGATTATTACATTCAGTGGAAACTATCCCTTCATTTATATTTGCTAATACATTTTCGATTTGCTTAACATGTAAAGGGTCACCCATTTCTTCCCTGTTCCTTTTTGGCAGACCACTGTCAGATATTCCTTCACTGTCTTTTGTCAAGCAAATATCTGTTTTCTCATCTGCGTTTGTTAGGTCATTATGTACCTTTTCTTTGCTAACTTTTATTAGATCCTCATCATCTTTCTCATCATTCAGATTGGGTAAACCTCTATCAATATTTTGTATATTGTAATCGGGTAAATCATTTCGCAATTTTTCTTCATACTCTTTTGGTAATATATTATCAATATTTTCGTCATTGCTACTCAAATCTTCTTGCGAGTCTTCCCAGTCACTTAGCAGAGATGATATGTTATCATTTGGAATTTTAGTTGTTTGTTTGTTTGGGCTCTCAGGTTTTGCAGATTCAGTTGGCTCATTTAAATTTTCAGGTAAGAGAGACTCAGTGTTCACAGTTCCCTCTTCAATATTTTGAGGCGTTTCAGTTGATTTTGTTAATATCTCTTTAGAGTCTTCACAAATTACTTTATTATCATTGATTGCTGGTGGAGAATCGTACTCATCTTCTGACCATTCTGATGTCAATATTTGAATTTTTTCCTCAGCTGCTTTTGGTACTGCTTGCGCAGACACTTGCGCAGACAGTGATACTTCACATTGTACAATTTCCTCAGCTGAATCTTGACTTATAGAATCAACATTATTTTCTAAACTTAAATCTGTTTGTTGTGTAAATGTTGGACTACAAATATTCTCTTCTTTGTCTATGAGGTTTTCGCTGATATCATTTAATCCCATTTTAGTATTACAATCTAGAATAAGTTTTGATTTAGTTGAATTTTTATCAATATTCTCTAGATTTTCTTCAACTGTAGGAAGATTTTCACTTGATTCTTCTGTAAGCTGTTCATTGATGATCATGTTTTCCACTATCGTCCCTTGAGTAGGATTGCTTGAATCTGTAATGGGTGTAATTGTTGTAGCCGGCAATGTCTCACTTTGTGTGCATTTTTCATTATTTTCCTGAATTGGCTCATTTATTAATTTACTTTGTATGGTTTCTTCTACATCCATATCTACTGGTGAAGGTGGTTTAGGGGGGACTTGAACCTCAGGTGAAACAATTACACTTTGATGAGATGTCATTTGAGGTGTATTTTGTCCAGTTTTTTCTAAGTCAGCATTTGGTTTGTTACTAACAGGCATTGGAGTTATGTCATTTTCCCATTCTTGACTCTCAATTACGTGAGCATTCATGACCGGTGCAGTAGTAGTGACAGTCTCAAAGTTTTGCGTAATTATAGCAGATGATTGTATTAACTGTGTTCCTATTCCTTGTGTAGTCAGAATTTGGAATTGTTTGTTTGTGCTATCAACAGGATGGCTATAAACTACTACTATGTTTGAATTGTCCGTTACAACTGACTCTGTTACATTTAATGGGTAATTTTCTTGTATGATCATTATATCATTTGACTGAGTGTTGTCAAGTTCCATACTCGTAGATTCTACATTGGAGGTGTGGGGGTTGGATAAAACAGCTAACGTTTTGTTAGAATCACCATTATCAAAAAGAATTGGATGGTTTGCAGTCATTAATGCTTTATATTCTTCTTCATTAGAAACAACAAACTGGATGGGTTGATTTAAGTTTGTTTGCTTACTTAAGATGACATTAGATTCATTTACAGTTTCTATTAAATTTGTATAGTCTAACTGAGTTGTAGAGGTAGATGTTTGTTGCACTGGTTCTGAATGCAACATTTCTGGGATGATGAATTCTGGTTCAGCATTTTTGGTTGATCTTGGTATAAGCTGATTATCTTTCAGGATGTACTCTCTGTCATCTATCATAACAATTTCTTCATTTGTAATNAAGATGACATTAGATTCATTTACAGTTTCTATTAAATTTGTATAGTCTAACTGAGTTGTAGAGGTAGATGTTTGTTGCACTGGTTCTGAATGCAACATTTCTGGGATGATGAATTCTGGTTCAGCATTTTTGGTTGATCTTGGTATAAGCTGATTATCTTTCAGGATGTACTCTCTGTCATCTATCATAACAATTTCTTCATTTGTAATAACATTACTATTGTCTTCTTGAACATGACCTTTTTGCAGAGACGTAGTAACATTGTTAATTATGTTACTGTTTTCTTTGTATATTTGTTTGGGTTTAACTAAGTTGAATTCAGGATTAAGTATTTTATGCTTTTGATTTAAAGGTGCTTTTATTTCACCATTAGGAATAACATGGATATTTCCGTCTGGTTGAATTTGATAGTGTACATTAACTTCTTCATAGTCATGTGAACGAACTGGGGGAATCTCAATCTCTAACTCCAATTTAGGTTTTTTATCTTTTGATTTTTCTTCATCTGAGTCATCAATGATGCCACTCGATTTATCCTCTTTTTTGTGACATGTTTTCAGATGATTATATAGGCTGCTTTCACGTAAGAAGACTTTTAGGCAATACATACATTGAAGGTTGTGTTTTCTTTCAGCAGAATATTTGTGACCTGTCCTTTGAATGTGCTGGAGAAGTAAATTTGATGAACTAAAGTGTGTAGCACAAACATTACACTGAAAGCTCACAGTTGAATGTGTTAACTTATGTTTCATTAAATATCCTTCACCCATAGCTACATAATTACATTGATTACATTTTGGGAAATTATATGTTGGTGGTGGCTCAATCCCATGTTTTGTATATAGATGGTAAAGATGATAATTTCTTTTTAATGCCTTATATCCACAATATTCACATATATTGACTACTGGTTTTTCATTGTGCACTTCAACTAGATGTCTTCGGAATTTATAATATGACATAAAATGCAATGCTTTGCCTGGTGTTCCACATATAAGGCATATCCAAGGTCCATTAATGTTCTCTGCCCCCATTGCTATTAACTTAGCTGCATGCTTTGAATCTATGACATCAGTCTCATAGGTGAAGTTAGAATCGTGTCTTTCAACTTTCTGCTGAGAATTTTTCTGTTCACGAACAGTGGATTGCTTCTTTTTGTTTGGAGTGTTTAATATTTTCAATTTGATATTTTTACTACCTTTCAATAAATGAGAGTATTTCTTTAAAACTTCACTTATTATTTTAGCATGATCAAGATTTGCCGATACTTTACTGTTTTTAGTGTCTATTGTTATTTTAGGAGCATCATTTTGATCTAAAATCTGATCAAAGAGTTGATTGGAGTCCATAATTGGTTTATTCTTCTTTAAATATGTTGTTTGGAACATCTCATTTTCATCAAGTATACCACTCTCCAAGTAATTATCTTCAAAGATGTTATCAACACTTTTCTTACATTCTATAATGTCTAAAGTTGTTGTGTGTTTACTATCACTTGAAGAATTATTGAACAGACCACTTTTTTTAGAGTAACGCTTCTTAGTGTCAGGATGTACCATCAACGGTTGAGATGTATAGGATATGTTACAGAAGGAACTGTCAAACACCCCATCACCATCAAACTCTTCTGATAGCTCATATCTTGTAGGTTTTGGATCTGTCATTGGATTTTTTTTATTTTGTATATAAGGAGATGATGGACGGTACATTATTTCTTTATTTATATTCACAGGTTTATATACTTTTTTCTCTTTGCATGCACTCTTGTTGTCAAAAGCTTTACCATATGAGCGTTTATTACTAGTAGATGGAGTAGGTTCAGAGCTTTTATGTTTTGGAGCATAGCACTGTGGATTCTGACTGGCACGGTGAGCTTTCAGAAGTTTAGTTAGCACAGGCATTTTCATAATGAGAGAAGTTTGGTAAAGTTTCTCAAGTAAATCCAACCTGAACTCTAATTGTCCAGTGTACATGAAGTTCACTATAGGTACAACGACATCAGCCTGAAGATCGTCCGGCATCACGAGACAATCTTCATACATTTCGCATGTTCTCTCCAAAACTTCAAAATATTCTGTACAAGCATTTAAAACTAGTCTGTGGACTTTCAACTGTGCGTTGTCTTGGAATTGTAGCGTTAAATCACAATAGTCAGTGCGGTTAAAGAAATGTTTTAACCTTTGGAGGAAATAAATTCCCCAGTTATCCACTTTCACTTGCCTTAACTCCGACATAGCGGCGGTTTCAATGTTTTTTCATTATAGGTTATATTTGCAGTATATATATATCTCATCCTGAAACAGTTATTCGCTTTAATAAATTTGTTTTCCGAGATAATTAAAAACCAAGACAAAAGTATTTCAATGAAACGCTAAAGTGATTGATTTTACATTTAGATACAAATTCAAAGCGTTGCTGTCCGATTGATGCCACAAAGAAGCCATTGATAATATCATTTTCAGTTAAATTTTCCGCCAAAATCTTTTTATTGTTTCAAAGTACTTACGAGTGAAAATCAAAATATCGTAGTTTGTATTTCAATTACTTGACTTCAACACGACTCTACACAGTTTTACTTCACTAAATTTGACCGAAGTTGACAGCGAATACGTAAGATGGCGCCATGATAATTTTCTCATGAAAAGTCCAAGCTTGTTTGACCCTGATCTACATCAATTGATGTCCTATTATGTTCATGATTGTGTAAAAAAAAAAGAAAAAATGTAAGGTGTCTTACAAGGTATTTAATACGTAAATTTATATCCAGAAAAATTTGCAAATTTAAGTATAAACTATGTTTTTCATTTATATTCACTTAAATTGATAAATAGTACGGCACTTGACTGCGCGAGATATGAGTAGCGCCCTCTATAAAACGTATTGATTGNGATGTCCTATTATGTTCATGATTGTGTAAAAAAAAAAGAAAAAATGTAAGGTGTCTTACAAGGTATTTAATACGTAAATTTATATCCAGAAAAATTTGCAAATTTAAGTATAAACTATGTTTTTCATTTATATTCACTTAAATTGATAAATAGTACGGCACTTGACTGCGCGAGATATGAGTAGCGCCCTCTATAAAACCTATTGATTGGATGCGCTCTTTACAGCTTAGCATTAAATGGGCTAGCAGATGACGTTTCGAACCTGTACATTTAATATAAGAATTCTATTAAAACATAGGTAACTGTAATATGTCAATAGATGGCTCTGTTTATTTTATGTTAACTTCAAATCATAGGAATGATGCATTCTGCATTGCCAAATTACATTTTGAATCTTTAACTTTTGCAAGTAAATTGTTTTGAGTTACTTAGGCATTGCTACCTATGACGTTTCATTGGTTGAATTTTTTTTAATTTATTAAATATGAAGTTTTGGTGCCTTTTTCTGATTTTAAAATGAAAGATTAATGGGGTAGCGATCTCACAAGCGATGATTTTGCTGTCTTATTTATTTATAGGTTTCGGTACGCTTATTTATAGCACGGTCTACCTAACGGAAAATGGTCACCGATGCTCATGGGTTCGGAATAAGCCTCATTTGAAAAGATTTTCAAATGTCTGTTTATCTGGCAATTCGGTTATTTCGGAGATTTACAGGTATAGTGTCAAGCCTAATTAAAAAACAGTATTAAATAAATCCAGGGGGAAGAAAGAGGTTTTTTCCCTTTCTATTTGCTTGGGGCTATTCCAGCTACGCGCGGCCGGATCGGTGAGCTCACGGCTTCAATCTGAGAGAATTTGTACCTACTTCGCAGTATCTACCATCGGGTTCGAATTGCGACCTACTGAGAAGATCGGTCAGAAACTCCGTAGTCTATGGGTTAGTTCGCTCGTCTAACTCTTTGTCGTAATCGACGAGGTTAACGACCGGTGCTCGAAGAGCCTAAAAGCACCGAGAGTGGATCCTGCAAGAAATGTTTCGGGCTACAGCGGCTGCGATGCCCCGTCGTTCGGCTCGATTATTTAGAGGTATCACATAGGTACCTCACATACCACGGTGCTCAGACTGCTATCGCGCGTGAGCATACTCGCATAGGTCATGACGGTAATTATGCAAGTTTTGTAGTGTCACCTAATTATAAAATACCATAGCAATGCATAAAGTATCCGTACCGATTCGTAGGTAGCAGTGGCGCAGGTAACCAAGGGCCCTGGGGCAAATTAAAAAATGGGGCCCCACTGTTATGTAAGCTGATTAGGTTTTATCAAATAAAAATATGAAATTTACAAATACTTTAAAAATGCTAAGCTACTTAAGCTATTTTTTGTGCACTGCAGGGCAGGTAATAAAAATATTAAACAGTAACAACTTAATAGGTTGGGGAAAAAGTCTTTTCGCATTATAGTATATATGAACATGTAATAAAATCTCTTTGGCTATAATATTTGTATCTGGCTGGTTTTGGTATCATTAAAAGTTTAAATTTTAAAGAAGATAATTCAAATTCAAATTAGGAAAATGTGTGATTTTTATTTATTTTTCGTACTGTCAAGATGAGTGAATCTAATGAAGAAATTCGATACATTTTTTAAATTTTACTACAAAAAAGGTAAAAATGCCACGCAAGCCGCGAAATAAATTTGTGACGTTTATGGGCCTAGCGTAGTGTCTGTGAGAGTAACATAAATTTGGTTTAAGCGTTTTCAATCCGGAAATTTTGATGTCAAAGATGCACAACGCTCTGGTCGCCCTATTACGGATAAAATGGATGCCATTTTTGACAAAGTGGAGCAAGATCGGCATATCTGTAGTTACGACGTAGCTGAAGAACTGGGAATTGACCACAAAACAGTTTTAGCGCATTAGGAAAAAACTGAGTACACAAAAATATTTGGGTACCTCACGAGCTCAGTAAAAGAAACCTAATGAACCGTGTACTCATTTGTGATTCTTTATTACGACGTAATGAAACCGAACCATTTTTGAAGAATCTGATAACTGGTGATGCAAATTGGATCAAAGTGGATCACGTACGACAAGAACGTGCGAAAAAGGTCATGGTCAAAGGCCGGTCAGGCTTCACAGACTGTGGCGAAACCTGGGTTAACTCGCAACAAGGTGATGCTGTGTGTGTGGTGGGATTGGAAGGGTATTATTCATTATGAGCTGTTACCACCAGGCAGGACCATCGATTCTGAACTCTACTGCGAACAACTGATGAGATTAAAGCAAGAAGTTGACAGAAAGCGGTCGGAATTAATCAACAGAAGGGGTGTGGTTTTTCATCATGATAACGCTAGACCTCACACATTTTTAGCACTCAGCAAAAATTAAAAGAGCTTGGCTGGGAGGTGTCAATGCATCCGCCGTATAGTCCTGACCTTGCACCTTCAGATTTCCATCTGTCTGTGTCCTACAGAAAGAATTTAAGGGAATTCATTAGGCATAACTTTTGAATTTCTCTCACCTATGTTCTCATGCTTAAAGTGGGGTTGCAACCTGTCATCTTTATTTTGAAAATGGGAGAAAATTCCAAAAGTTCAGTTCGATCGAGATTTCTGGTAAAGATTCGAGGGCCTCCTGAGCTTGAGGGCCCCGGGGCACTGCCCCGCCTGGCCCCTTGGTCACGTATTATGTCAAAGCGTACAACACATGTTTAAAATTTTACAAACGCTTATGAGTTTTGTATTAAGCTACACAACTCAAAAGTCTAAGTAGCTAAGGGTTTGATAATGTTCATTTTGATTATTTATCTCACTTGTATACTTTCACTGTCGCGTAATTTAATTGTAGTTTTGTTTCTATGGTTTATTAAAGGTTAATCGTTTTAATTGGTAGCAACACTGAAGAAAAATAAAGTTTAGAAAAAATAATTATTATAAAAAAAATCAATTGATTCTTCTAAGATATTAGCGATCAAGTGTTAGTTAGCACTGACAACACTCTTGGAGAGGGGCTTTAACGAAAACCTCAAGTCGTCGACTGTATTCGTGGACCTAACAGCTGTTTACGACACAGTGTGGCGCCAGGGACTGCTGTACAAACTACTCAAGCTGATCCCCTGTATAAAGATCTACAAAGTTATTGAGGACGCCCTTACCCACAGACCATTCCGTGTCCATCTGGGGGACAAGTCTAGCTTATGCAGGGTCCTGAACAACGGCCTCCCGCAGGGCTCAGTCCTCGCACCAACACTCTTCAACGTGTACACCCACGATGTGCCAGAGACGCTCTCCAGCAAATTTGCGTACGCAGACGACCTAGCTCTAGTCGCACAAGCCCGCAGTATAGAGACAACGGAAAGTCACCTTGAAAACGACATGGCCACGCTTGATGACTACTTCATTCGATGGCGCTTGTGTCCGAATGCCTCCAAGACGGAAGTCTGCTGTTTCCACTTAAATAACCGACAGGCCAACAAGAAACCCAACGTCACCTTTAGAGGCTCCACTCTCCCCTCCAACCTCTGTCCTAAATATCTGGGTGTCACCCTAGACCGGTCTCTCCCATACAGTGCCCACCTGAACAACGTCGCAGTGAAACTGAGAACCAGGAACAATATCCTACAAAAGCTGACAGGGACAACGTGGGGAGCCTCAGCCAACTGTCTGAGGACATCCGCCCTGGCCCTGGTATATACGACGGCAGAAAACTGCGCCCCTGCATGGTTAAACAGCTCCCACACTACTGTAGTCGATACACAACTAAACCACACCATGCGCTTAATCACGGGGTGCTTTAAACCAACCCCTTTACACTGGCTTCCGGCTCTCAGCAGCATTGCCCCACCCCACCTTCGCCGCACCCACCGCCTATATGCAGAGATAGAAAAGGCGCTTATACGACCCGAGCTGCCTATCAACAGGGACCTAGCCAGTTTCAAATCAACGAGATTGAAGACACGAAACTCACCGGCATTACAGGCACACCAACCACACTCCAATTGGAACACAAACGAGGCCTGGGTTAAAGAATGGTCAGACAGATGTATCCCACCTGAACTGTTCGAGCTGAATCCACACTCCCGCCCACCTGGTTTCAAAGAAAAAACGCCCAATCTGGTGCATGCTTAACCACCTGAGAACGGGAGTTGGTCACTGTAACCAACTGCGGAAGAAATGGGGCTGGACGGAAAACGAAAGCTGTGAATGCGGATGCCCAGAGCAAACTGTACGCCACATTGTCATGGAATGCCCACTAACGAAATTCGCAGGCCAAGTGGAAGATCTCAATAATGTTACAGAAGAAACTATCGATTATTTCACAAACTGTAAATTTAAATTATAGCCACGCGGTGTAAACGAATGCCATACGATAAATAAATAATAAGCGACAGTTCGCTAGCGTCGCCAGCTTCTGCGTGACATAGCCGGTCCAAATTAAATTTTAAGTACAGAAAAGTTGGAAAGCACATTCGAAAATTCACAAAACCTTAACAAATTAATTCCTCGAAATACATTATATTTACTTCATGAACATATTTTCGTTGTCCTATCCTTTTATATTACACTACCCAACTGGACCCTTAAAGCGGCTGATCGCAAACGCGTGGATGCTTTTGAGATGTGATGCTGGAGAAGAATGCTCCGGTTACCTTGGACAGCGAAGAGAAGCAATCTGTCTATCTTAGACCAACTGTAGATCAAGACTAGACTGTCCACACTCTGCCTTCGC